TCCTTAAGTTGCTTTTGTTGGGTATTTCATCACAATAACAAGAGAAGTGACTGCCTCAAAACACACACACAAACACACACACACACACACACACACACACACACACATACAGAAAAGTACAACAAAATTGTCTTATGGATATTAAATTATAAGTGACATTTTTGCCTTCATGTTTTTGAATGGTTTAAAATTTAGTATACATTCATCATGCTTGTAAATTAACTAAATCAAAATGAAAAGAACTTCTTGCTGTTATGATAAAACACCCTGACAACAAGCAATCTGGGGGGAGAAAAGGGTTGTTGAGGCTCACAATTCTAGGTCACTGTCCATCACTGTGGGGAAGTTGCAGGCCGCTTGTTCAGCCGCTGTCGAGAACACAAAGAAATGAATGCATGCTTGCTTGGGCCTCAGCTAGCTCGCTCTCCTCATACAGTTCAGAGCACAACGGCATTGTCCATAGTCAGGGCGGGTTTCCCCATCTCCATTAACCCAACTAAGAAAGATTCCTCATAGGCATGCCCACAGGAGCCAGCCAGATCTCGGCCACTGTCACTGGGACCTCTTTCCAGGTGGTTCTTGGTTGTGTCAAGCTGACAATTAAACTCAACCACTGCTGTGAATGAGAGAATGCCTCTGGACAACCTGGTGAAGTACTGTTAAAAGGAAAAGAGCTGAGGAAAAAAATAAGTAAGCCTAAGCCAATGTGAGATTCACAGAGAAGTAGTCAAGAATGGCATTAACAGGTGCCCAGCTATACCATGATGCTCGTGTGTGTTCGAGTCACAGGTAGCTTGCAGGAGGTGCTATCCTCTTCTGAATACAGGCACTATAATTAGCAGTGAGCTGGAGATAGCCTGGGCAGGTTGCAGAGATGCAACCAGGGACTGGATATACCACAAATGAAAATATGGCTGGAACTACGAGAACTCCATAAATGGAGGCTGAAGTGGTACAGGAACCTGAATATGCTAGTCTACACCTGTGCCATGGAGAGACTAGACAAACAACCAGCTCTACCATTGCCGCAGCCAGAATCAGAGAACATAGGAAGTGTACTGAACAGTTGTTCCAGCAAGCATGAGTTATCTAGCGCTAGGAAAAGGCACCTAGTCACAGAGGTAAATCCAGCTAGCTAGGCCTTCCACACCCTTCAGAGCCCCAGGCACACAGAATTCCACATGGGAAGTATGACCCGCAAAATACCGTACATGAGTCAGTGACTGACAATGAGGGGTGTGGGGTTCAGGCTAGGGAATTCTGGAAGGATCATGAGTCCCACACAGCAGGAAGAACACAATGACTTAAGCTGTCTGAATAACTGAAAATTAACAGCCCTCCCACATCAGCAGAGGCAGGCACACACACACACACACACACACACACACACACACACACACACACACACACACACACACACACACGAGGAGGAGAAACCACATCTAAGTTGGAAGGTGTACTAACTGACGTTACAGTATCTCCTACTGCATCTTATCCTTTATTTTAGTTTTATTGCTTCTTTTCTGCTTCACTTACTCTAGTTTTCTGTCCTGACAGAAAGAACACTAGGGGAAAAGGGGGTTTATTCAGGTCATGGTCCATCAGTGTGGGGAAAAGGCAAGGCAAGAACGTGAAGCAACCAGCCTCAGCCGTAGTCAAGCGCAGAACAAATGAAAGCCCGTGTCCCCTGTGCTCAGCTCACCATCCACTTACACAGTTCCGGATTCCCAAACTCAGGGAACGGTGCCACCACAGTGGGCCAGGTCTTCTCACCTCAGTGCAATCACGACAATCCCCCCACACAGGCCACATGCCAATCTGACTTAGACAACCCCTCATTGAGAGTCTCTTCCCAGGAGGCTCCAGACTGTGTCGGGTAGAAGATTAAAACCATCATACGTGTTCTGTTTGTCTGAAGATAACTTCCATGGCTCATCCATCACTTGGCTTTTCTGAATACCCTTTCCTAGTCTGTACCCATTCCTTATTTCCTCTACTATTTATTACACTTCTACCCAAACATTAACACTCTCCCACCTTTAGCCCATACATTAACACTTTCCCTCTATTTATACTTTATTCTCTCATTCCCCCTTTCCCAACTCTCATTTTGCCACTTAATTACTAATAGTTTAGCTTAAAATATTAAGCACTATTAACAATTAACCTAGTTCTCAAACAGTTCTCCAGTGAGCCTGTTTCTGAAGCAAGTTAAGAGTCCTGCCAAATTGTTCTCTCTGTTACTGCTTGCTTATATCCATACCTTAAGTAACTAATATCTTAGTGTACACAGCACTGTGTGTGATCCTTCACTCCCACTTTGTTTAAGGAGTGACTTTTAAAATTGGCTATTACTGTATTTCTATACTGGACCTTTCCATCTCCATCGGTTGTGGTTGTTTCTGAAGACAGTATTCTACCCTGAACACCTACTGGTCTTAACTACTGACGATACCTCCAGTCCAATAGAGATATTTACGTGGGTTTGCAGTAAATCTGTAGATTGCCTGTGCTAGTACACCCATTTCCACTATGTTGATTCTGCCAACCCATGAGTATGTGAGATGTTTCTATCTTTTAGCTTCATCTTCAATTTCTTTGGTATTTTAGAATTTGTGCTGTAGAAGTCTTTTGTTTTCCTGGTAAGATTCATCTGGGTTTTGATTAGTTCTTTGGTTTGGAAGTTAGTATGACTGGGGCTGTATTCCTGATTTCTTTCTGACCATGTTCACTATTTATAAAGAGGGAGCTACTGATTCTTGTCTTTTGATTTTATATCCTGCCACGTTGCTGAATGATTGTCATTTCTAAGAGTATTCTGATGGAGTCTTTAAGGTCTCTTATGGTCTATGAATTAACATAATTTGACTTGTTTCTTCCTTGTATCCCTTTCAGTTCTTTCTCTTTTATTACTCCTTTAAGATTTAAATGACCACACTGAATAAGAGTAGACAAAGTGACTACACATCTTTTGGGTATATACCTAAAGGTCTCTAAATCAACACACCACAGAAATACCTGCATGCAATGGCTATTCTTGGTTGTCAACTTGACTACATAACAAAATAAGCCATGGAGGGCACACCTGTGAGGGATTTCTGTAAAACTGGAAGTAGAAAGATCTACTTCTAATCCAGATCTTAAATTGGGTACACACACCTTTAATCTGGCTTTGAGGTGGGAAGACACACCTTTCATCTGGGCCACACCTTCTGCTGGAAGCCTCTATGAGGACACGGAAGAAGGAAGCCTTTGTTCTTTGCCTGCCTGCCCTCCCTTGCTAGCAAGTTCATTCCTTGGCTGGCATTAGAGCTTACTTCTTCAGGATTCCGGTATCTACTGAAGACCAGCTGAGACATTCATCCTTGTGGACTGAGCAACTTCTAGATTCTTAAGACTTTCCATTCACAGTTAACCACTGTTGGATTAGCTGGACCACCGTCAGTAAATCATTCTTATAAATCCCCTTTCTATACATACAGAGGAGAGCCATTCATTCTATAAATTGTTACTCTGACTAACACACTAAGAGCAATGTTTCTTGCAGCACTATTAACAACCACAGAGTTAAGCCACTGTCCTTCATGTCCACCAAGAAAAGATTAAAAAAGAGAGAGAGAAAAGAAAGAAAAATACTTATAGCATATGTTACTGGTAAATACACAACACTCCCCCCACCCCAAAGTCTTAAGAGCATTTGACTTGTTTGTCAAACCAAGGAATAAACAACCACACATAGCCACACAAATTTAGAACAGTAGGCAAAGCTCATGAAAAATGCTTGCTGTGGATATGATAAACAAATGACCCTTAGTACAGGACATGATGCTCAGCTTCTATAATAGTTTTATTCTGCCGTGGAAGAATAAAATTATGTTGTCAGCAGGGAAATGGGTGCAACTGGAAACCATTCCATTACATGAAAAAAGCCAGACACAGAAAGGCTAATTTCTCTTATTTGAAGGTCTTAGAATTCTTTATAGATACATAACCTTCCCACACACACAGTGAACAAGTGTGTGCATGCAGCGTAAAAGCAAAAAGAATATTAAGAGAAGGAAGGGGATGAAGGTGAGATGGACAGTGAAGCTATAGAAAAGGAAAGGGAAAGACAGTAAATATGGTCAAAGCACATAATTCACTAGAAAGAAATTATCTTTATGAAACCCAGCACAATGAGTCAAGAAAAAAGAAGAAATAAAGCCACCACAGTGGTAGCAAGGATGCGAGGGAAGAGGAAGCCTTTGTTCCTGGAGAGAATGCAAACTGGGGCAGACACCACAGAAAGAAGTATAGATTGCTTCAAACCGGAAACTAGAATTACCATGTGACTGCACTACATAGCTCCCAGAGATGCTTGCACATCCCCAGAGATGCTTGCACATCCGTGTTTACTGCTCACTATTGACAACACTTAAGAAATGGAACCAGCCTAGATGTCCACCACAAGATGAATGCATAAAGAAAATTTAACACACGATGGAATTTTATTCAGCCATAAAGAAAAATGAAACCATGGCTTTTGCAGGAAACGAACAGAACTGCATGCTAAGTGAAATGTGACTAACTCAGAGCAAACAAATTCTCTCAAATACAGAGCTCGGATTTTTAATGTGAGGGCGGGGGCTACAGGCAGGTCCTACAGACTGGAAATGGATCCATGAGAGGGAATGCAGTCATCTCAAGCACAGAGGAGAGGAGGAAAAAAAGAGAAAGTTAAAGAAGACAGTAACACAGAAGCAGATGGGGTTTGTGAGGGGAGGAAGGGAGCCAACAAGAGGGCGCAGGGGAGGATGAGGAGTAAGGGCAAAATGTGCATGAAAATCCTAGAATGTAACCCATTACTCTGTACACTAAATACTTTTAAATTTTTAAAGCTTTTCTTTTGAATATTGAGAAGCAAAGACATGTTTAGATACAATGCACAATCTGTCTTAGTTACATTGTTCTTAATTTTAGTTTTTGTGAATGTCTACTAGAAATAGTAACTTTGACATTACCAGACGTGTTGGGATTTACTGAAGACATCACAGAATCCGCTTCTATCTAGAAAAGACAAAGATTGAGAGGACATGAAATTTTATCAGATGTCTCACACTTGAAGTTCTGAATCCCCGGGGTATAGTAAGATGTATATTTTATGGGAAGCCAGCTTTACTGAACCCATTAGACAATAACCTCACTTGACCCATGATGGTCATTTTTCTCATTCATTAACATCCACAACAGATGCTAATCTGCCATAATGCACCCCCAAACGTCACTCCACTGACAAATAGCTTAAATATATGAAATCAAATTGGTTGTTTTATGCAAATTCTAACCTAAAATATAGCATTTCTGCTTTATTTAAAAAAGAAAAAAAAGTAGTTGTTACAAGAGCTCTATTCTTCTATTTTCCTGATGCCAAAAGTACCCCAAGCCAGGTGTAGTGTTCACACCTACAATCCCAGCACTTGTGAGACTGAGGCAGGAAGAGAGAGACTGAGCCTGCACAGGCTACACAGTAAAAGCCTATCAGGAAAAGAAGGTGGTATAATAAAACAGTAATACATGATCAGTGCAGAAACATAAAGAGTATAAACTACAAAGAAGACATTTTAAAACCCAGTGGATACCACTGCCAACAGTGTAGTCTAGTCTGCACTTTTGCTTGTTTTTGCCTAAACATAAAACATCTGAGAACACACTACATGTAAAGTTCTGAGGCCTGCTTTAAGTAAATATTATCAAAGAAGAATCCCCCCCCCCATTGGTGATAGGGGCTTTATTTGTAAAACTAAGTAAACTGAGACTTAATGGTAATTGACATTTGGTTTTTTTGTTTGTTTGTTTGTTTTGTTTTGTTTTTTTATTTTTCTGGTGCCAGTCTTGAATCTCCCTTAACCTTGAGTCCTCGCATTCCCCTGGCCTCCTTGTGTCCCTCCCCAATGATTCCCAGTCCATCATTGTCATGAACTCTCTGCCTATCTTTAAATGCAGGCTTCCCCAAAGCTCTTTCCTTGGTGTGGTGGGATTCACACCCCGCAGAAACTTCCTCCAGAATGCCTACGATTTGAGCTACCCTTTATAAACTGAGCCTCAAATCTACCCTCCCCCGCCCCCATCTTTCTACCCAAAAGCGGTTCCTATACTTAAGAGGTAAAACCACAAAATCCCATACAGTATCTAACAATCAAATGAACAAGCAACACCTCAATCTTAGCTGACTACTTTGAACCCATGTCCATGTGAATCCCCCCCTGCTTGGCGATGCCCCCACTCTTTTACTGCCTGGCAGCGTATCTGGGCAAGCACCAGACCACAGCTTGTCTTACTGCCACAAAGGGCTCCTAGATGCTTCCTAGAACACTAGTCAAGCCTGTCTAATCTAAATGACACCTATTATAGCTGTCCCCCACCTTGCCCCTCTTCCTATTTATAAAATATCTCCTCTATCTTCATGTCTGCTTTCTAAGCTCCACACAAAAATAAAATTGCTTCACAGCAGAAGTGTGTTTACATCTTTACACATCCCCAGCAATTACCAAGTACTCATATTAAACAGGCTTAAAAAATTTCATTCTACAAACATCAATGTATAAATGACTTACTATATAAGTTCTTTATGAAATGTCAGTGTAGTGAGATGGTTAACTCACAGTTAATTCTTCAAAATCACATTCTCTGTGATAGGAATTTTTTTTATGTCTCATTTAATTTGCTGACTTACAATCAGTATTTTATTTGTTCGAACACGGTATTAAAAATTAAACTCTAGCACTCAATTTAGTATAAAATTTAAATTACAAGATGGTAATCATTGGAGACTGGAGAGATGGCTCAGTGGTTAAGAGCATGGGCTGCTCTTCCAGAGGACCTGAGTTCAATTTGAAGCACCCACGTGACAGCTCATAACTATAACTCCAGTTCCAGGGGATCCGACACCCTCATATAGACATATGTATAGCAAAACACCAATGTACCTGAAATAAAAATAATTTTTTAAAAGAAGCTATATAGTGAACATTTCCTTTCTGATAAAAGCTTAATGTACAAATGTCTGACAGATATATAGGTGATTTGCTATGATCCTGCTTGATTGTTACTGACCTATAACCAGCTATATATGTCATTTGCCTAAAATATAAACGTGAGGGCCAGTAACGAGTCTCAGCAGGTAAAAACACTTTCTATCATGGCCTGGTGACCTGAGTTATCCCTGGGACTCACACCGTTGAAAGAACAGACTCCCATAAGTTGTCCTCTGACCTCCACACACTCCCCCATATATACCCACTCACACAGATAAGTTTTTAAAAAGGTAAAACCCATAAACTCTCAATGCAGAGTACGCAAAGTAGAAGTTGTTAAATTTCATCAAGTGTATGTACACGACCACACCCCTGCACCTGTCATTTAATTCTTCACATCGTCTACAGTTACAATAGACTCGAGGGGGATAAAAAGCAAAATGAGGTAAGTTATCTTTCCAAGTGACCCAGGTTAAATGCAATGCTTTAAAACACTCAGCCTTTCCAGGTCAGCTGCCCTGGAACTCCAGTGTGCAATGACTGCAGGTTAAGCTAAGCGGGGCAGCTGCAATTTCAGAGCCCTTCCAGGCTAGCACTCTGAACTCCTAACTGGCAGTTCACAAGCTCAGCATCTCTAGTCTTCGAATCCCCACAAGCTGTCTGCAATACTTACGTGTATGTGTGTGTTGGGGTGGGGTGGGGGGAAGAATATATTTACTGTGGAGTTGTAGTGCATTCAAGCGCATGGAAGGGTAGCAAGTGGATATTATAGAGTCAGTGGCTGCACTGACTCCCGGGGAACAGGAGAGCCGAGCTGTCAGTTCTGGGGGAAGGGAGAGCATTCTAGGCAGAGGAGTGCCGGCTCCCCTTGGTGGCTACAGTTTACTCTTCTGAATTTGGACAGTGTCTCAACTCTACTTAGTTCCTGTTCATCAGCTTAACAAGAAGGGATCTGTGTCTTGACTGCTTATACCAGGCAAGCAGAATGGCACAAAGACAGGGGTAAGCAGGAAACTATGTAAGGAAATAGGAGGTTCATTGGGGGTCAGCTGTGGTCTGACCATTGGGAGGTGTGCAGCTCTTTCTGGAATATAACGGCCACAGTGTTTCAAATGCACCCTCCGCGGTGGAAAAGGTGGTGTAGAAAGAAGGTAAGAACCAGAGGGAGTGGGGTGGTGAGATGCCACGCTGATTTCTGAGCAAGACACCGTCTCTGCACTCTCGAATTCACCACCACTGTGATCACCTGTGCAAGACTGGGCCTGTCAACACTCTGCCAGGGAAGGGGGAGAGGCTCATAGGGCCCCGCCCTCCCTGACGATTTATTTATACAGAGTTAACAGTTGGTGGGGGAAAGAGAGACATTTTCTTCAGTGGTGTAAGGTGGTAAGGTGCCCACATCCTTGTACACAAACTCTTAGCCAATGTTCCCATGAACAACCCTAATGAAGCTCACTGGGCCACTGTCTCTCTTCCCCCGCCTCAGAAAAAAGAAAGGTAATGAAAAAAATCAAATGTATATATCATGAAACTTACCTTACCAATTAGATTTCTGGGAATTTTGGTATTTTTGTTTGTCTTTGTCCTAAAATGCTATCTAGTCATGTAGTACACACTGGCTTTGAACTCCTGATCTCTATGCCTCATGCTCCCAAGCACTACAATATTATATATATATATATATATATATATATATATATATATATATTCCACAAAGATGTGTGTGTGTGTGTGTGTGTGCGTGCGTGTTTAGAAGTAAAAGGGTACTCACTTCAACAATGTTTGCAGGAACTGCAATTAATTCAAACAACAACAAAAGGTAAACTGGCTAAAGAGAATACTATACAACTATTTTTTAAAGGGTGAAACATATACAGAATGACATCTCCCATCAATGGTGTGTGCTTTGGAGTTGTTGCAAATGTGATATGTTAAATGCATGTTAAAATAAAACAAGTATGCAACTAATTTTCAACAGAGAACTATGACTACAGAAGAAACTGGTTATCTCCTGGTAAGCCGGACCCTAGTCTAGTGGAAAGAGAAGGGATTTTGTAAACTGTATGAATGTATTATTTTTAACAATTGAAGAACCGCCCAGAAACTCTACTACACATATAAGCTAGTAGAACTCCTCTTATTAAAACATCACTCCACCTCCCAGCCTATCCTCTGCCATCCCATATTTCTTATAAAATGTGGGAGACTTGTGATGTTCTGTCGGGTCCACTGGCAGAAATATCTAATTCATGCCTGAGTTGGGACTTGTGGGGTTGTGGATATTCAGCACCAGAGACATCTTAGGAACAGCTTATAAATGAGCGATTTGCTCTTCAGATATCAGAAAGAAGCCCTGAGCAATTTTCTTAGGATGCGTTCCTATACCCTCATCCAAAAAAAGGGATAAAAGAGGAAAGAAGATGAGAGAGAAGGAAAAGAAGGGGGTAGAGGCGAAATTCTAACCTTGGAGGGTTTGTATCCAAACAGCATTACAATAGCAACCTTAAAGTCCTCTCGGCTCAAGTAGCCTTTGTTGTCTTCGTCGCATTCTTTAAATACCTAAGGAATATTAGACATCTACAATTAGCCAGGAACCAGAATCTAAAACTCAGTCTGGCTGTGGAACTTTTAAAATGCGCTTTCATTACCCTAGTTTAACTGCTCAGGCAATATAAACGCTGAGATAAGATCGTCTCTCTGGCCCCCATCCCCAAAGAGGCTTCATCTCTACGCTGACAAATCAATTCCTCTAGGCCACTGAAATAAACTATGCAAAAGCTCAGTCCTGGGATTCCGAAGGGGATGCAAAAGGGGCGGGAAGTTAATGCTGCTGGAGGTGCGGCGGGCACGGAAGTGATCAGAGTCCTGCAGCTATGACTCGGTTTTCAGAGCCGATTAGAACCTGGTTGAGGGAGACCCAAGATAGGTGACAGAAGTGGCCCTGGTCAAACTGAGTCCGAACTCAGGTAGCGCCCCTACACCTACTTCCACCCATTTCCTGCGTTCCGAGGCGCTGGCTTCGGATGCCCGCGGCCTGGCTCCTGCCACTGACGGGAACATCGCCACCAACGACACCGAGAACACCGAGAGCAACACAAGGTAGCTCGACTTCTGCAGGGAGAGCACCAACAGCGCGCCGCGGCCACGCCCACCACCGCTGGGACTCAACCTCGCCGCGCAACTCCAAGGTCCCCTCCCATTGGCTACTCTCCGGTGTTGATGTCGTAGTGTCATTGGTCGATGGCGCTGTTTAACAACGGAGGCTACCAAGACCCGCGCCCCGCCCCCCAGTGCTTAATGGGGTCCCTTCTCAGTTTTCTTATTTCCTAGAACGCCACGCCTTGACCCCAGATTTTGTTTAAACATCTTCTGATTGCTTTCAGGCTTTCCACCAAACTTGCAATAACTCCCTTTGGTTATTTTGACCCACGTCTTTTCTAGACTTTGTAGGAGACACAAGAAAATTCGAAGAAAACACACACACACACAACACACACACACACACACACACACTGAACTCCAAGGTTCATTTTAAAATCAAGTCACTGCACGGCGTTCTTAGGGCAGCCACTATATTTATTTCCTCCCTCTTGGTAACCCCAGCACTTAACTCTGCCTAGGACAATTAAACGAAATGACCCGTTAAGAGTGTTTGCACAGAATTTTCAACCCCCGGGCGGGGGGGGGGGGCAGCAATGAGGCTGACTCAAGGAACTGCACAGGGATCCCACAGCAGGCATCGTTACACAAGGTGAGGACTGGGCACAGGAGCGTCGTTTCCCAGGCCGGCTTACGCCAGACTCCTCCACCCTTCTGGCAGATCAGTGAGGTTGACGAGTTTCAAAGGAGACTCGCTCGAGACTTTGAAGTTTATGGGGATTCATTTTAGCTTTCTGTCTTGCGGAGGGAGAGCAAGGAGCTAGGTTTCCCGACGCTGGCTCTCATCCCTTTGCTGGGTCTCACGCGAACGGGGCGGTCTTTAGGACCCAGGGGCGGGCTTCCGGAGGTGGATGCGGCCGGCCCGCAGGACATCGGCGCCAGCGGGTTTGAACCACGCGCATGCGCGGCGGCGGCGGCGGCGGGGGCGTGGTCTCGGCGGCGGAGCGCTGGCGGCTCAGGTAGGTGTCTGCGGCTGCGGGCGCCGTCTCGGGGCGGTCTCTGGCGGCGCCCGCCCTCCTGATGGCGGCTCGCTGGCCGCTGCGATCCGGTGGGGTAGTGGGAAGGCCTGCAGGGCTCGGTGTGGACTGCGAGGAGAGCGTCGAGGCCGGGGACCCTGGGCACGGCCCCCTCCGCCTCCCGGAGCCAGGGATCCTGTAGCCTTCGCCCCGCGGGGCGCTCTGCAAGGGCGAGGGGCTCCCCACGCGGCCGGCTCTGAGCGTCTCCGCTCAGTTTCCACTTCTGGGGACGACTGTGAAAGGCGGGCGGTCTTGAGGGTGAAAGGAGTCTGCGCCCTTGCCTCTGTGTCTGGGCAGAGCTGAGCGTCCGGGAAAGTTGACAGCTTCACGATTTTTACCTATTTCTCCACCGCAGTCTTCTTAAGCACCCCGTACCCCTGCTCTTCGGACGCGTCTTTATTGCCACGTGTCCAGAGTTGTGCCGGATATATGCATTTTAAAAGGTTAATTGGGCCAAGGCACTCCTCCTTCTAAAACACGGAGTGTTTTTAGACTAAAATTCGGCTTTTGTCGGCTTTACCTTACTTCTCCGCCCCTTTCTTTCTGGGCCAACCCTATATTACAGTTATAACCCTATTACCACCTCCTGGCCCTTTGCAAGTTGGGTTCCATCTGTCTGGCATGCTGTTCACCTGTCTTTTAGCCCGTTGATTCCTTCTCCTCCTCGGGTCTCACTTGCTGCTCCAGAGATTCCAAAGAAAGGTTATCCATGTAAAATGTAATGAGCATCTAATCATCTTGACTTTTAGATTTTTTTTTAATGTGTTAATTTGTTCCCTTCTCCCTGAAATTAAACTTGCCTAGGATAGAAGCTGTATGCTCTTAACTCTTCATTCTCGGTACTTAATTTTGCTTGCTACTGGCTCAGAGGAAGGACCTCTATGGAGGAGCTTGGTGTCTGGCTAGGTCTCAAAGGTCTGAGGAGCAGTGTAAGGGTAGCGGAAATACCTTATAGGTCTGCTCAGCTGGGGGTAGAGGAAGCAAAGTTCTAAATACAGTGCATCAGCTCTGTCTCTCTCTGTCTCTCGCTGTCTCTCGCTCGCTCGCTCGCTCTCTCTCGTGTGTGTGTGTGTGTGTGTGTGTGTGTGTGTGTGTGTGTGTGTGTGTGTATGTGTGTGTATGAATGAATGAGTATGCAGTTGTGCCTCCCTCTTGCTCTCTGACCTATTCTGGTGAATCAGGGTCTCTTACTGAACCCGAAGATGACAGTTTCTTCCAGGGTAGCTGGCCATTGAATTCTTGAGAAGTGCTTGTCTCTGTCACAATATTGGGTTAACAGGTATAGGAGTCATTCTGGGCTTGATGGGAATTGCAGCCCCTCTTATCCACTGAGCTAAAATCTCATGGAATTTTTTTTTTTTTTAAGTACTTAATAAAAACCTCTGAAAACAGTCTGAGTTGCTGTGTAGTGAGTGAATTTCCTAAGTTTTTTTTTCATCTTGGTTCAGTGTGTGCCAAGTTGCATTGCCTCACCTGCCTCCCTAGCTTTTATTTATTCTCTCTATATTTAATTGGCTCCACTCCTATGTAGATACTGTCTTTTACAAAGCAGACTTTATTTTGCCCTTGTAGCTATCATGGAGCCCCAAGCTGCATTCTGCTGACGGGGAAACAAGGGTTACAGGTGTTTGTAGAAAAGTCCAGGGTCCACCACTGTCATTCAAAAGCAAAAATGCAAAGCATCTTTTCAACAGGACAGCTTTCTCCCTGATTTAAGCAGAGACTGACTTGGGATGGGAAGGGAGGGGCTATCCCATGTGGTCAGTGATGGGCAGGTCCCAGCTGCCTCCACTGTAGGAATCAGGGCTGGGACTTGGGTGGGTAGAGGGGGGAGTACCTGTCTTGCCAGTCTTTTTTTTTTATCATCACTTATTGCAGCTGTGACTTTACACTTCCGCTATCCTGGGCACCGCCTGGCAAATCACTGAAAGTCACTGGGAGTCTGTCCTTGCCACGCTGGGCCTTGGGAGCTTTTGAAAGGTTTCTAAAGGTTCTGTGTGGGGGAACAGTAAAGTGTGAGGCTGACCAGATACAGTCCTCCAAATTAGAAGTCATTTCCTGGGTGATGGTGACATTTACATCACAGCAGTCCCTGTTCAGCAGGCCAAGGACCTTGTTTTCATAATGAGGTTGGTAACCTGATGGACAGAATGACAAAGTACAATTTCATTAGTATTGCTGTCAGTGGTAAACAGCCCTCCAGCAAAGAACTGAATGTCAGCAATCTCCAAACTTCAACTGTATGTAAAGCCTGGACCACTCGAAGGGTTTTGTTTTCTGAGAAATGTCTTTTTTCAAACACTTGTTTGTTTTATTTTTACCAACTTGTTCTATGTAATTGGCAGGGATGTCAACCCCACCCCCACCCCCCAGTGTGGTTCTAGAAGATGTAGTTAACACTAAAAACCTGAGAAATTGTCCAAAGAGTTTAAAGTCACTAGAGTTGCTTTACTCAGAGTTCTCAAGGTCTAGGATTTGGATTTATTGAAACAGGCCGTGGTGTTTGTATCCCCCTGGGGAAGACATTGATGAGCATGGTGTCTGCAGGGATGGCACACATTTGTGAATTTATCCACGCATTGGAAAGGGAAAGAAGACTGAGGGTTCATGGCACACCTATAATCGCAGCCCTGAGTAGGAAGGGTGGGTGTTCACAGCATCCATTTATGCTCATACACACAAAGAAACCCTACCTCATATGAGAGAGAACACGTGGCTTTTGACTTTCTGAGTTTGAGGCACCTCGTTTAATATAATGTTGACCAGATCTGTCCATTTTCCTCAAATTTTTGTAATTTCATTTTTCTTCACAGCTGAGTAAAATTTCAGTGAGTATGTGTGTCACACCTTCATTCTCCAGTCACCTACCAATGGGTGTCTAAGCTGGTTCCGTTCCCTGTCTGTCATCTGTAGAACAGTGGATACAGGTGGTTTTGGTTTATGGTTCTTGTTTTTTTTTTTTTTTTTTTTTTTTTTTTGACTGGTTGGTTTTGCTACCTTGGAACTCACCAGGGAAGCTAGCTAAACTGGCTAGCGATGACCCCGAGTGACCACCTATCCCTTGCAATCTCTAGTCTCTGCAACTAAAATAGATGTATCTGACAACCCACCCAGATTAAAGTGGGGGGGGGATCTAGAGAGATTGCTCAGCAGTTGAGTATGTACTGCTCCTTAGACATCTGAACTCGGTCCCATCATCCATGTGAAGGTAGCTTACAACCAGCTAGGGTTTCTTCTATCTACCTGGGTTACCTATACTCATTATAGACACAGGCATTCACATAAGTTTTTAAAAATTTTATTGACTTAGTTTTGAAACAGTCTTGCTATGTAGCTCAGGCTTGTCTCAAACTTACTATATTTTCCAAGCTAGCCACAAACTCGAGATCCTTTGGCCTCAGCCTTGAGATTGTAAGTGTGAGCCACCACACCCAGCCTGAGAAATCTTAACTCATAAGATTAAGCAGTTCCTTAGTCAGTCCACTTAAGTAGTTCTGCTCTGAAGTCTAGAATAAGGGTGTGAGTTAAAATAAAAAGATATAAGCAAGATAAAAAAAAAAAAAAAAAAAACCTGCATCTGAGCTCTTAAGTAAAGTCTGTTTTAAACTGCCCTCCTGTGCAGGGTACACCTGTTACAGCTTGGTTAGCTGTTACAAGCTGGTTTCTTAACCCACATAGATCAGAAGCTGTTTAGGAAAATAGCCTAAACTGAGTTCTCACAGCGAGTTGGACACCATAGAAATTAACACAAATCTTTTAGGAAGCAGATTCAAGTTCAAAATACATACAGAGCCTGGGGTCATCTGTTATTGCAGAAGCCAGTGACCCCACCCACTCTGAGGCCCCACACATTGGCTGTTCTACTTGTCCAGGCCAGTTGAAGTTAACTGTAACTGTGAAGATGTCTCATGCTCTCTATGTAAGGGCTCCTTGAAAAGTGTGAACCAACTAGAATTAATTGAAGTTGGGTAAGGGAGGAATTGTGAAAAGTGACCAATACCTTAAAACTCTCTCTCTCTCTCTCTCTCTCTCTCTCTCTCTCTCTCTCTCTCCCTCCCTCCCTCCCTCTCCCCCTCCCCCCCTCTCTCTGTGTAATTCATTTGAAAAACTGATGTAAGATCAGTTCTTCTGAGATTTGGGGAGTTTGGTTTTGATTTTTGGGTTCTTTTAGTTGATGCGGGTTGCAGGTTCTTTGGAGTACTGCTTTTTGACTTTGTTTCCCCCACTCATAATACATCCTCTTCAGGTGTGAAACAAACCTTGCAGATACTCAGACTATAGGAGCACGTTTTTCTGAATATTTATTTTAGTTTTCTTTAGAATTCTGTACTAACCTGGCATTGCATGATGGAACTGCTAGAAAACCCTCTTGGCCCTTTACTGTTTAGCGTGAATGCTTTTTGTAGCTAACACCACAAGTACCTATATTCTATATTTTGCTCCTCTGAGAGCAAGAGAGTATGAATTAGATGGACTGTGTGACTTAGAACCTGAAAATGGTTGGCTTCGGTTCAAGCCCTGGCCTGCAGGTTTCAGCCCCTTGAGTCGTGGCGTGAACAGTGAGGTAACTATCTGAAACGAGCTAGGTCCTCACGCTGTGCTTATAAATTGTACACACAGAAGCGGTCATTCGGTGTCCCTTGAAGAGGCCTGCCTAAGCCAGTGTGGGCCCCTGGCTTCGGAAATGTAGACTTAGCTGTTGTAAAGGTGCTTGCTGCCAAGCTTGACTTACTGCATTCAATCTCTCAATCTCTGGGACCCGTGGGGGTGGGGAAGAGAGAGAGAGAGGGAGAGAGAGAGAGGGAGGGAGAGAAGCAATTCCCTCAAGTTGTTTGCTGACCTCCGTTTGTACCCCTCCCCTGATAAGCAAATATTTGAGCCCATGAAGTGGCTCAGCGGGTCAAGGTGCTTGTCCCCAAGCCTAAGTCCAATCCCTGGGTCCCATGTGGTAGGAGAGAACGGACTCCTGCAAGTTGTCCTCTGATCTCCACATCATGTCACATGTACACCACTCCCCCAGCATACAATAGCAAGTGTAGTAATGTTTTTAATTAATGGTGAGCTTGCCTAGCAGCACAAGGCCCCAAGTCAAGTCCCCCCCCCCCCAAAGAAAATGAAAAATGAGCATGGTCAGAATTATTCTTAAAAGTTTCCTAAGATGGTCTTAACCTTAACTCCCTTCCTAGGGCTTCTAAGACCAAGGTCTAGCTAGAAAGACAGCAGGAAGAAGGTGGCTAGGATGCTTCCTTTAGCCTGTCAGCCCCACACAAGAGATTCTGGTGCTAGGTAAGTGATTCAGACCCTGAGCACAGACATCCTTCGTGTATTGCAGTCTCTCATCTGACCTGGAATTTGAGAGCAGTAAAGTTACGCTGCCAGTTGCCTATTGAGTAGAAAATAATGTCTCTACCGTTCCTTTTCAGGAGTATAATGTCCCAGGAAAGCAGCTATGGGAGGTGGACAATATCCAGTAGTGATGACAGTGAGGATGAAAAGCCCAGGCCTGACAAGCCGTCAACATCCTCTCTCCCCCAGGCTGGGCAGGGAGCAGCGAAGGAGCCGGTGTACACCTGCTCAGAGGCCCGCAAGGCTGCGCACAAGAGGCAGCTCTCACCTGTGAAGTTCGGCACCACAGACTCATTGTTACCCCCCAAAAGGCAGAAAAGTGATTCCACAGAAGCTCTTGGCTGGTGTCTGTCCAGCAGTGATGATGAACAGCAGCCAGAGACAAAGCAGGAACAGCCTAAGTACATGGTGGCTCAAGAGAAAAAACATGTCTCCTCACCCAGTGTGACTAGTGCTCAGAAAGTTGTAGATCTCAGCCCTCCTGCCAGCCAAAGGCCCCAAAAGGCAGATGATGAGGACTACGAGACCTCAGGGGAAGGCCAGGACATCTGGGACATGCTGGATAAAGGGAACCCCTTCCAATTTTACCTCACTAGAGTCTCAGGGATTAAGGCAAAGTACAACTCCAAAGCCCTCCACATCAGGGGTAAGGACAAGGGCTCTTAGGAACTGGTGAGCTTGGTAAAGAAGGGCGCAGCTTAGAATGGCCTTTAAGAGCCCCGTCTTAACTACTGGTGGGAGGGTTGTTTACCCTGAGTGCGTGTGGCAGACGGGGGGGGGGGGGGCATTCCAAGGGTCCTTCTCAAGGCCCCTGTGGCTCAGCCCCTGGTAACGATTGGCAAAGTACTTAGAATTGTTTAACTGTTCAAGTGAAGGCTAAACCTGGCTGGTAGCACTATTAAGTGTCATACGCTTCATAGTGGCTCTGTATGGTCCCTGGGCCGGCAGCATCAGAATCACCCGGACCTTGGAAATGCCACTGTTCAGCTCTATCTTAGATTCATCCAATCAAACTATTGGGGGGAGGGGGGGAAGGTTAGGAACTGTCACCTGTGCTTTTTCTAAGCCTCCAGGGAAAACAATGCCTAGTGGCCTCTGAGAGCCTTGAAAGCCTGCTTTGGTTCCCAGGACAAAGAAAGAAGAATGAGTATTGTTGTGAGCATGTGGATGCTCCGGGTATGAGGCAGAGAATGGTCCCTACGGTCCTCTGTGTTCCGTGGAGAAACAGAATCATGTGGGCTCAGTGGACCCAGATTTCCTTTTTGCCACTCATTCCCTCTGTGGTTGAGACCACACAGCATGGGATGAGGATTCAGAACAGCAGATATGTGAAGTGAGCAGCACACATATTTGGATAGCAGACACAATACGCATTCTCTCACTTTGATGGCTTTGTTTTCCTGGTTCATATTCACAGTATAAATTATGTTTATTCTCAATGTAGTTTTTCCCTATCAAATATATGATTGTACCCTATATTTTCCTGTATAATGTGCAAATGTTGGTGGGTTTAATTCTGTAGTAGTAAGGCCAGCTCTACAAATTGTTGAGCATCTTTTATGTAGGTACCCTGAAGATGTGTAAGATAGTTGCTGGTGATTCTGCTTTCTCTGGGAGAGACTGATGTAGGGAACAGTGGAGTATGGAAAGACTGCTCTATGTGATAAAACAGTAACAACTTGCTGTGAGCACCAAGATTTAAAGAGGGGGAGATGACATCATGAGGGTTCCACATACATTTTAATTGTCTCAGAGCAGCCTAATAAGATGATCCAGTGTCCTTAGACATGTGACTGATCTGAAGTTAAGAAAAGTTAAATCACTTACCCAAGGTCACAGAGCTGTTAAGTGGTAGACCCTCACTTAAATCCAGTTCTTCTTGTATCTAAGTCCATGCTGTTTGATGTATCCTGCCAACACTAGCTTTAATTGTAGGTTCTCTAGATCTCGTGGAAGACAGTGGCTTTCCAGTGGGCCCTGGAAGATGGACAAAGTTTAAAAAGCAAGAGGTGTAGATGGGGGCTAGCTGGAAGACTGTATTGCAGCTTATCTCCCAACTCTGCTGGTCTCAGAATGAGGAGGAGCTTTCCTACTAGTCGTTTTGTTCTTTACAACTGTTTGTACCCACATCTCACCCACTGTCTAGAGGACAGGAGGCGCCCAGTAAAATAAGTGAACTAGCCCACTTCTTTCTCAGAGGCAACTCAGTCAGTACCAGACATCCTGGGTCAAACCTTAACTCTCTGACCCTTCCAGCTGTATGGTCACACACAGCCTCCTTCAGAGATGCCACTTACCCAAAAGGAAGAGTAACACCTTACCTCAAAAAACCCCCAGGAGTATTGAGTTCATTCGTCCAAAGTGCTAAGAACGTTGTCTATCTCCTAAGAAGTCCTACACAGATGCAAGATGGTGGTGATCATGGTGTAGTTAATGAACAGTGCCCTTTCTAACTATCCAAAGTCAGCCTTGAGGGGAACCAAGTGGGATGTCCTCAGAGGTGACCTAGAGTCCCAAGGATGTGAGTGTACTGTTGAGGAAGCAGATGGTCTGTGGCTACAGAGGAGAACCATTGCAGACTTGGATGGTGCAGGAGGTAAAGAGGTCTAAGAACGGACCTCATGAATGATGCAAATTAAACAGTCATCCGGGACTTCAGTTTTAGATTTTATTTTACATTCTACTTTGTCAAGAATGAGATAAATATTAAGTTATATAAGGAAATGGTTTTATTGCTTTTGCAGAATATTACAGTCTAGCCTGGTAGCTTTTCCTGATTGTCACTGCCACTGAAAAGGGTAGTTGTTATAGAGGGATTTTAATCTGAGAATCCATTTGTTTTTGTCTTTGTAGATATTTTATCCCCTCTGTTTGGGACACTTGTCTCTTCAGCTCAGGTGAGTTTATGGGAAGTTGTCCTTTCCTTGGGTGAGGAGAGGTATGAGACGGGCCCTATGCAGTGTCCCCTCAGCTGGCATCTGCCTAGAGCCTGGCCATATTGTGGGATCCATGAACAGCAGTCCCCCGCTTGGCCCCCATCAGCATAGAGCATGGGGGCCACTAACAGAAAAACACCTGATTCTTGCTCAGGCCACAAGGCCTAGCTGAGAAGTCACTTCATATTCCTACATGGAAGAGTTTGGTAGATACCGCCAGCCTCATGGGATGCTGGTGCAGCCCCCTGGGGATGGGTGGTGGCATGGTGAAGACCAAGTCAAGTTTGAGTTGCTTCAGAAAAAATGGATGCTCTGCAGTGAGCAGAAGGGAGTGGAATTTGTGACTACTGCATGTGCCAGGCTCTGACTGCCCTGGGCTGTTCCCTCCATGCTGACAAGTCATCATAATGGACGGTCCAGAAGCTCAAGACTAGTCAGAAGAAAAGGGCAGGGGGGTCTTGTTCCTGAATCAAGCAGAGGCGCCACCCTCCTGTGTGATGTGGTCCTGATGTCTAGATAGAAAGCAAATGGGGTGTGTCTGTGCATCCTCTCTCAGCTAGACTTGAGCTCCTGTGCCCAGGGTTGGCCATAGATAAAGCGCTATGGAACTTGTGGTCAGCAGGAAGTAATTACAAACAAGTTAGAGTGTACCAGGCTAACTGATCAGTTGTGCTGACAGGAAATGGCCTCTCCTAAATGTCCTGGGATCTTTGTCTCTGACACCTCAGGGAACTTTGTGAGCCGGGACTACTGGAAGTAATGTAGTAACACACCATCAACAATAGAAATGTTGCTAAAGTATGTGTAGATGCTATCCTCAGAACCTATCTTGGGCATTTGGCTCCATTTATGCAGATTCCTTTAACTGAGTGTCCTTCAGGAGGAAATCTGGGGTCACTTTTATATACTGCAGCATAACTCACTAGGTTTGTGAACACTGTAGCATGTGGTCGCTTTGGGAATCGTGTCAGTTTAGTAACAGTTCTTACGGGCGTAACTGTGGCTTACTTACTTTGCTTTCTCCCCCTGTCTAGTTTAACTACTGCTTTGACGTGGACTGGCTCATAAAGCAGTATCCCCCAGAATTCAGGTGAGTCCCTGATGCCAGAGTGCAAATAGCATGGTAGAATGCGAGCCTTGCACTTCTCAGAATAGACACCCATCTCTCCATATTTCACTTGACATCATTGTAAACAGATAACATTTGTTTTGGGAGGACAGCATTTTATTCATTTAGTTTTTGGTGTGTGTGTGTGTGTATAGGCTTGAGTATTTATCTTTAGCAGCCATCTCCTCTCTTCTTTTATATTTTATTTTATTCTGTTTTTTGAGACAGGTTCTTTTGCTGGCCCAGCCCCAGGGATCTACCTATATCCACCTCGCCACCATGCCTAGCATCTTTTACACGGATTCTGGAAATCCAACTCAAATCTTCATGTTTACAATTGCAAACACTTACAAATGAGAACACTTGAGAACACTTTTTACCTATTTAGTCACACACATTCTTTTCACAGACTTAGTATTTTCCACTCTGTCCTTTCCAGAAGTAGAGGACAGACTCCAAGTCAAGTAACAGGATTTCATGGGCAGTGTTAGTGTGAAGGAAACAGCCATCTCTGTGTGGTGTCTGGATGTGTGTGTGTGTGTCCAGACACAGCCACCGCGCCATGCTCGGTTCAGCACATCAGAGCTGTTTTTTTCTAATGCCCTTTATGCGCCAACCCAAATGATTCTTCCAAAACTGTATCTGAAGTTAAGAAAGGGGATCATGACTGTCCTTCACCCAAGCTGAGGTGCTGCCTCTGCCAATGCTTCAGCCTCCTGTGAGGCCATACAGACCAAGTCAGTGCAGCCATGCATGTGACACAGGACCATTTGTGTTCATAACACAGAGTTGTGCAGAAACCCCTACAGTAAGTAGGGTGCAACAAGAAGAATGCTGACGTCATCAAGGCCTCGGCGCATTTTAAGGCATCATTCTGGAAACTCATGGCATTAGTGTAAAATGTGGAGATTTCTTCAGCAGCTTTACCATGCGAGGGCTTGTATTTGGTTGATTAAAAGAACATTTGCTGTAGTTGCATATTAACAGAAAACTCAAAATAACAGCTTAAATGAAAAAAAAAAAATGAAATTAAGTACAACTTAGCAGCCTGAACTCCTAATGGTAGCTGTCTGTGGTTTAGATAGAGTGCCAGAGTTTTCTTCTGTGACTTAGCTACCCACTATTTCAGTCATTCATTCTGTCCTACCATCCTGGGGTTTGACTTCAGTCTTCAGAGTTACCTCATGGTCCAGGATGGCACAACCTAAGGTCCAGACCACCTGTCTGTTTTCCAGCTAGCAGAAAGGAGGAGGAGGAGAGAGAACTCATTCCATCGATGCCACTCTGAGCAGTTCTGACTGGTCCCGAGTCTCTTGTGTTTTGTGGAACAGAGCTCAGTCTCATGACACTAGCCATCTCCAAGGCTAGATATGTGGTCTTCTAACTGAGGCCACCTCCTCAAGGCTAGATATGTGGTCTTCTAACTGAGGCCACCTCGTCCGTCCTACATGAAATCAGGTTTTTGCTAAGAAATGCGAGGCTGGCTGTGTGGGGAATGATTTGGCACTTGCCTCCAGCTCTTCTTAACAGTGTGTCCCTGAGTGTTACACTGTTGCTGTTTGGTCTCTCCCCATTACTTCTCAAGGACCTTGAAAACAGATGTCACCTTTCCACAGTATTGTCCTGGTGTGGGCTATAATTCCTTCAGTGGCTCTTCTGGGATGAATTGATTGTTTGGATTTCTACACCTCAGCACCTCTGCGTGTGTTACACTGGGAGCACTCACTGGGAGTGCTCACTGGGAGCACTAACCCAACATGCTGACACCCTTCTAAAAAGGAAGAAGTTGGACATGGCGACAAAGAAGACAGAAGACACAAGGAGAATGCCATCTGTGAGCCAAGCAATGCTTGAGGCCCCCGGAAGCCAGAGAGCCTGGCCCGGGTTCTACCTCCATCCCCTGCGGTGCCAGTCTGCTGGCACCAGGCTGCTAGCACCAGCTCTCAGGCTTACTGCTTCCAGAACTGTGGCACTCCAGACTTTTGTGACACTTTGTTACAGCACCCCAGCAAAGTCAAAGGATACAGTCCTCCTTCTCTCTACCCCCTTGTTAGCAGGTGCATCTTGGGAGAGTCGTGAACATACTACAAGGCTCAAGAATGACCTGAATGGCGTCTTCAAAAACCCACGCAGAATTGGGTCATGGAGCACTGCAGGTGGTGAAGGTCTGCATCTCACTGCGCCAATCTGAAGGCGTGAAGGAGCGCTCCAGCATCCGTCCTTAATGCTTAGCATTCTGATATCTGAATCACATGTGACCGGAGAACGCCAGCGTTTCTTACATTTCTCCCCATGTGGTTTGCTGGCTGTGCTATCTCTCCCTACGTAGGGGAGCGTTAGAAATGCCTGTGTCTTTACCTGTGTTACCAGTCTATATGCAAGTCCTGCCAGAGCAAAGCTAGCGTGCACACGAGGCCGTCAGACGGTCCCTCTGAATGGGTGTGCCCTGTGCTGCGTCCCGGCCCATTGTTGCCTGTCGTGCCTTCTGCGGCATAACAAGCACAGCTGCATCCGTTAACCTTGCTTGGGTGCTTATTGGAGAAAGCTCCATTTTTTTCTTGTTTGGGGAGAGTTGGTAAAGATACATTGATTTCTAAGGATTAGCTGAAGAAGATGAAGTGTTTCTTAAAAGTCTTTTTAAAGCCAGGCATGGTGGTTTGTGCTTGTGTCCCAGCACTGGGGGAGCTGTGGCAGAGGATTGCAGAGTTTGGGGCTAGTCTGGCCAGCACGTCGAGTTAAGGCCAGCCTGCGCTGTGTATCAAGACCCTGTCTCAAAATAGGTAATCAGAAAAGGCCTTTAATGTGTTCCTAAAGGACATTTGTATAGTCTTTAAATTTGAAAAATGTGCAGTGTGCTAACTAGCAGTTAGCAAGTCTGTACTTTGTTAGGGGCTTGGGACTGTCTACTGTTATATCCTGGATCCTGCACAGTACATAAAGCATGTAATAAATGCCTGGTAAACAGGTGCAGGGTGAAATATAAAACTATTAATGGTTTAAGACAAGGAGGAAAGGAAGCCAAATTGCCCTTTTTTAAACCAATTTTTTTATACTAATTCTCATTTATTTTGTGTGTGTGGACATGTAAGTGTACGTCTGTACATGCCAAGATACACTTGTGGTTAGAGGAAGTTGTCGAAGTCGGTTCTCTCCTATCGTATGGGTTCCCGGCATCAAACTGAGGTCATCAGCCCTGTCGGCACGCACCTTTGCCCTCCAAGCCCGTGTCTTTATCCATCTCACCAGTCCATATCTTTAGTCGACTCCATCTGAAACGAGAGCACACAACCTCTGTGCGTTCTTTTGAACCAAGGAAAAGCAATACTCAGGAATTCCATAGAGCTGTAACTCAGTCACAGTTGACCAGACTTGGGAACTAATGAATGGGTACTGACAGTCACACGGTGTTAGCCACAAAGGGCAGAAGCTTTGTGAACAATGCATTTGAAACATTTCCGATCTCTTTTCAGGAATAAACCAATCCTGCTTGTGCACGGCGATAAGAGAGAGGACAAGGCACACTTGCAAACCCAGGCAAAGCCCTATGCAAACATTTCCCTCTGCCAGGTAAGCTGCCCTTACCTTGACCTCATGCTCAAGTCTGCCAGTTGGCTGAGTCCACCCGCCCCATTTGGGCAGCAACCCCTGCTTTAGCTTTACCAGCAGATACTTAACTTGTCTCACTCCCGAAGTAACGCACTCTGCTAGCCCGGACTCTGTAGTCAGGAAGACTTTTTTCTTTACTTGAAGTCTCCCTCCTAGTGTCTACTATACGTTGGTCCAGATTGCCTGCTCTCTGGAACCACACAGTTCAACTTATGTCCGCCTGGCTCGTGCAGAGATTCCTGTATTTGAGGTCGGCTCCCTCTTCCCAGAGTCTGGCTCGGGCTGAGCTTTCTTTCTCTGTGTTTGTGTTCAGTGTAGTGTGCATCTCTGCTCTGGCCAGCTAACACTTGCCTGTGCTTAGTTTGTCCTGTGCTTCTTGTAACTTGGATTTCAGCATCAGTCTCCCGGATGCAGCCCAGTGGCTTTGGATCTCTTTGGATGCAGCTGTGATATGTCTGACCTCTGTTAGCTACCACTGGGACTTTAACTGTCCTAAGTCCTTTTTTCACATGAGCCACAGAAGTAGAGAGACCCATAGATTAAAAGCGTGTTAGGAACTGAAGGGTGTCCTACATGGCACGAGGCCCCAGCCCAGTGAAGGGACACCCAGTGATCATATGCTGGAGCCAGAGCAGACAGGAAGATGGGACAACAAAAAGCCATTGTCCACTTGCTCTCCATGTTCCAGATTTTGCCCTATGCTCGGTAGTCATCCTGTGGTGTGACTGATAAATCTTGGGCTTTTGTTACAGCAGTTACTCTATACACCATCTCTAAAAAGATCTCTTTATTCCGTGTGTTATTTTGAGCAACAAGCAGGCAAAAATGGGAAGAAAAAGAGTGTAGGGGATTTTTTTCCCAAAAAGCATTCCTTCCTGTGGAAATGGTAACTGAAGTAGCCGGTGGAAACATCACCATTTCCTGCCTCTGTCAGCATGGTTACCTCTGTCCCTGGGGAACTGTAGTGAGCCACGGCTACAGCTTTCTCTCCTTGTCCTCACTGTAGTATAGCGGGCTCAAGGTTTCTGTTCTTGGACTGTGGAGATGGCTCACTGGGTAAAAAGTAACTTCCTGTATAAGCATGAGGTCCCAAGTGGAATCCCTGCACCCACTTTACAAGCCAGGGGGCTGCATGCACCCTGTAACCCTGCTACTGTCTAGCTGGAGTTTCTTTCTGGTCTCACAGTCATGTAGCCCCAAATAAACACACAGAGACATATTTAATTATTAAACTGTTTGGCCAATCACTCAGGCTTCTTACTGGCCAGCTCTCTCTGAATTATTAACTCGTGACTATTAATCTATGTATTTCTACATGGCTTTACCAGAGAACACCTAGCGTGTCCTGTTTCCCTGTTCCCTCTCATGGCTTTTCTCTGCCTCCTCTCCCCAGCTTCTCCTGGTCTGGTAGCTCTGCCTATACTTCCTGCCTGGCTACTGGCCAAGCAGTGTTTTATTCATCAACTAATAAGAGAAACAGACACACAGAAGGATAACTCTTATAAGTACTGTGTGGGGTGGAGAGAGCCAGGAGGCTGCATGCACGCCTGTAACCCCGGTACTGTGTGGGGTGCAGTCAGGAGGCTGCATGCGTGTCTGTAACCCCAGAACTGTGTGAGGTGGAAAGAGCCAGGGGGTATGCATGCATGCCTGTAACCCCGGTACTGTGTGGGGTGCAGTCAGGAGGCTGCATGCGTGTCTGTAACCCCAGGCCACTGGGTAGTGGAGAAAGGAGGACCTCTGGGCTTGTTGGCTGCCTGCCTGGCTTCAGGCTCAATGGGAGACTTTCTCAAGAGAATCCGAAAAGGCAGCACCAAAAGTCCTCCTCTGGCCGTCAAGCACACACATGGGTGTGCAGCATACTGCCATGTACCATACACACACATGTACACACCAAGGTTTCTGTTCTCAGAGACATGACATCTGGGTCCCTTTCTTTGTAGTTTTCCTTCTAGGGTCTCTCTCACTCGTGATGTGAGAATTTCAACTCACATTTGATTATGCTCCTTCCAGCTCTAAATTGGTATCTGTGTTTCTGTTTTAAGCAGAAAACATTAGGTCACTTTTAAACACTCACAGCAGTTTTTCTGGTGTGACCCATTGCACATTGTGTCACTGTGGCTTCCAACCACATCCTCTTCTGGACTGTGGATGTAGCTCTGTGCTAGCGTGCTTGCCTGGTATCCACAAGGCCCTGGGTTCTGTCCTCAGTCTCACTAAGAAAATCCTCTCCCAGGAAAAAGGTTTGCGGTTCATCTTATGCACAGAGATATCTTTATGCCTTTGTTTAGCAGTTCCCTAACATTCTGCTGTTTGTTTTGATTTCCACCAACAGAAGAGGTGGGAAGAAAACTAAAAGTAAACCGACACAGGGACCCTGAAAGCCCACGATTATAGTCTTCAGACAGCAGCCACCTAAATACCAGGTTTAGGAGAGCCTGATGCCCGAGGGCAGGAAGGCCGCTAGAGGGCGCAAAGACACACTTCTGGCAAACCTTTGCAAGGAACCTTACTGGAGAGTCTCTTTCTAGTGGGAGATGCAGGAGAATCATGGCCCCATCTCATCTTGACTTTTTCTGGTAATAACATTCATCAAGAAATGAGTTGTGTGTGTATTTAGTGCATGGGGCTGGAAACTGAGGCGACGGTGGTGCCGAAGGGTCGCTTTTGCCTGAGTTCTGCCTCAGCTCTGTGCCTGTGGATATGAATATGCCTGGGCTACTGTAGTGACATTTCTGGATGGAGAGTATTTTTATTTTGAGACTGGTCAGCTTAATGACAGCCATCTAGGAAGCTAAGAATTCCTATCCTAGCGCAGGTCTCCGGTTCCTGACGGAGGTTGCTGCTGCCTTGTAGGTGGCTGAGTTCTCACGCTGTCTTCACATGGCAGAGACAGGTGAGGGGTGTGGTAGCACTGTGGCACCTGTGAGGACACTGACTACATCGGGTGCCATCCCCCACTTTCCCATGACTTTGTTTGATTTTATTTGCCACCACCAAGTCCCCCTCACCACATACGGACACGCTTGGGCTTCGGCTTTGACACGTGAGTTGGAGGATAGGCATGGCATGAAGGTTCATTCCACGATGCTCATGCTGGCCTCGCCACTTCCCATTTGTTTAAGTCTAATTTGTCCATGTATCAAATGGACTGCTAATGGCATTCATTACAGGGTTTCAAAGAGGCGATGCATTAGCCCCCAAAAAGGCATGCATTAAAGAGGGCCTATTGAAGTTCCCTTCAGCTTCGTTGTTTGTACCTGAAAGCGTGTAACGTGTAGCCAAGCTAAGTTTAGAAGCCGGTTCTCTTAACCACTGTTCTTTCTCAGTTAAAAATCAGCCGATAAGTGATTTTGTAATTTTAAAGACATGAAGTACAGTTCATAGCTTTCTTCTCTGGCCAAAAAACACAAATGCATGCTGGTCTGCCCGTTTCCCCCAAGCTGCACGGACCTTCAGGAGGACCTGCAAACTGTGTGATACCTACATGCGTATTCCGGTTGTCCATTCTGCCCCTACCAGCCAGTCCTGTCCTTCCTCGTGTGATGGGGAGAGGGCGCTGTGATGTTCATACGTCTGTGTGGCTCACAGCAAACCGGCCTCTTTCCTAAGGGTTTACACATACTTTCTCATCCTCTCCAAGCAACTCTGAGGCTCACAACAATCACCTATGTTAAAAAGGCACAAGAAGCAGAGAGTGTAGGTCTTTCCCAAAGTCAGGCAAATTGTGAGGAGGGATTCGAGCCCAGGCAGTGTCTTCCTAACCTGGTCCCTCTGCTGCTTGTTTGCCCCATAACCTGTTCTTTCTGGCACACCCTGCCTGACCAGGGTCTTGCAGTGCTAGAGTTAGGTAAAATGTTTTGCCCTCAGCATGCATGCACTTGCTTGTGAAGATGCCGGTCTGGATGGAGTACAGGGTGGCTTTGACAGCGTTTACTTCCAGTTTTTGCTGTCTTTGTATGAAACACTCTCTTTTAGTTTAGCATCATGATGGTTTGATGATGCCACCGCACCCGATGCTATTTTAAATATGTTCTTGAAACTTTGTTCATCTTAATTCTTCAGTGGAAGCCAAATATCTCATTTAAAACTCTGTTTAGACTCACACTCATTTTATTAGGCTTTTGGAAACTGAAGAAATTAGGCTTCTCACTTATAATTACTGTAATTAAAATTACAGTATGTATTAAATCATGTTGGATAACAAAATAAACAAAAAGTTTTAAATGAGCCTTAGTGGGTGCTATAATAAAAGCTGTTTTCTGCTGGGTGGTGGTGGCGGAGGTGCACACCTTCAATCCCAGGACTGGGGAGGCACAGGCAGGTGGATCTCTGAGTTCAAGATCAGCTTGGTCTACAGAGCGAGTTCCAGTACAGCCAGGGCTACACAGAGAAACTTTATCTAAAAAAAGCCATTTTGTATTTGTCCAATAGAGGGCAGTAAGACAGTTTTTTAAAAGTTGACTTGGTCTCTTTCCTCTTAATTTTCAGTAGCTAGGAAGAGTAAATATTGAGACTTTTAAAATAAATTATTTCTTTTCTGTCCTAGGCAAAGCTGGAAATTGCATTTGGAACACATCACACGTAAGCAATGTTTACTAAATGGGGGGGGGTGTGACTTTAATTGGCCAAAGGATACGAGCAAGGAGCTTTAAGACCTGACCCCAAGACTCAGCCCGTCAGCAGGAAAGCATGAGTCTGTGACTCAGGGGTCCCTGCCCATTGCTCCGGACATCAGGCAGGCATGGCTGCTCGGAAGCACAGAACTCCAAGCGTGGTCCTTGTGGGTCATAGACGATTCTATGTACACAACCAGTGCGTGCGGGGTCCCTGACACACAGAGGTTGGCAAGAACGAGTTATATTGACTAGTCTATTTTTAGTCAGCCCCATCACGAATTTTACCAAACGTTGCCAATTTGCAAGTTCTGCCCCAGCTCAAGTGAGCTCCTGAGATATAAGTGGCAGACAGGCAACCCTGGCCCACTCCTGCCTGTCTGACACACTGTGCCAAATGACAGTGTGCTCCACCTTCTTAGTTTTACAGGAGTGTCACTGAATTCTTTTGCAGAGCAGTGCGGCTTTACAGGTGCGAAAAAGCAAAACGTGGCTGTCCTTATTTTAATATTCGAAACCATTTCTCTGGAAAGGGTTTGTCAAAAGACTGTGACGGAGCCAAGGGTGGGAGTGTGGGGCTGGCTGTCCCCAGGTCGGAAGCCACCTGCTAGCGGGAGTGTGGGTCATCTGTCTGGCTGTGACATTCTTCCTGCTGAAGCAATGCCCTGAAATGACAGTATCGTGGCTGCTTTTCTCTGTGTATGTAAAACAGTATTTTTGCCAATCCATTGTGAAAGGGGGCCAGAGCAGAAGCACTTAAGCCTCTCCGTGAAGCTGTAGGCCCATCCTCTGACTTTAATTCACTGAGTACATATGGTCACATCTACAGACCGCCCCTAATTGGTAGCTTCTGTCCACTAGGGGGCAGGGTTTGAGGACTGAGAGTGATCTCAAGCACCTGACTCATGCATAAAATACTCATTTTCCAGCACTGAGCTCACAGGATGCCAGTTTCAGCTCACAGTGTCATCAGTGGGGGCGGCTTAGCCGTAAGGCAGGCAGGAAGTCCTTGTCTCCCACCCTTAGCTGAAACCCGGGAGAAATACACCCTTGATTCTAGAATGCCTTCCGCCAGCCCTGTCACCGTGAGGGCTCTGGCATGATTTGTTAGGCCACCAGTGCTGGCTTCCTGTGCTGACCATGAGGTCTGCGCTCTGCAGTGAGCCTTACAGGTGACTAGCAAGCAATGTGAGAGCTTGTGCTGCCATGGGTTAGTTATGCTGTCACTCCTGGGAGGGACTCGAGCGCTCAGAGAGCCTGCTCCAAAGCTGGCGTGATGATGCTTCGCTGTGAATGGGGCAGAGAGGGAACACACGGAAGCTATCCTTCATTTGAAAATGTCAGATTACTAACCTCACAGACCAGAAAACTAAGACCTAGAATAAATGGATTTTCCTTGGGGGTGTAAATAGGGAGAGAACTCACCTTTGACTTTAGTTGTTAATTTGTTCTTGTTTGCTCACTGCTACAATTGACTTTACTGGTTCCTTTGCCTCTTTCCTCCCTTGCTCTTCATAGTAGCTTACACATGCACATTCTGTAGATTAAGTCCAATAGTTCTCAATTCAGAGACAATACTGGAGTAGAACTGGTCCCAGCTAGAGAGCATCCATGGCTTACATTTTGCTGAAATGGCAGTGTCTTGTAAAGGATTGAACTCATGTCTGAAAATTTGGGTGGGTTGTTTATTATTTTAAGAATTGTTTGTTAATCCAGGGATGACAACACACACATGCCTGTAATCCTAGTTCTTGGGAGGCTGAGAAGGGAAATCAGGAGTTCAAGGCCAGTCTACATGAGATCCCCGTACCACCTAAAAAAACAACAAAAGTTATTCATCTAATACTATAATGCTATTGAGTCTCAAGTCTGGAGGAAGTCATTTTTGTTACCATAGCTTTTCATCTTTTGGTGAGAGTTTAGATTAGATGTAAGGTGGAAAAGGAGAAAGTCCCAGCTTTGTGGTGATGAAGTAAACACTGTCTCCCCAGCCTGGAGCTAACAACAGTGATTATGATGCAGCCTGAAGAAGGGTACACTGAGCAGGCAATTGGCCCAGGTACCTTGTGCAGGGGACATGGTACACAGCAGTCCAGGCACAGAGTGTCCCTTGGTTCTTCAGAATGGAAAGCTCTTTGCTTTTCCCCAGAATTGGGCATGGTCGCCCCTGATGGCTCTAAGCATTAATGTGGAGAAACATAGTCCAAGCAGCTGAACGGACAATGTCCTCATCTAAGCAGGAGCCAGCCGCCGCCTGCTGGGACACATTTCTTCCCACCATCTTCCCCAGCTGGCCCTTTGCTCACCAAGCCCTCAGCCCCCACTCATTTTCTAGTAGCATAAAATGTTCACTGCCCCACCTCTAACCATGAGCCCTACACACGGTGCCCTGGCGTATGGGCATGTGTGAGTTCAGCCATCTTCTACAGGCTTGTTTGGTGACCTAGATAATAATCCCCTTTCCTCCAACCACAGAGTCTGCAGTTGTAAAGTGGGGATTACTTCTTCTTGGGAGTGTCTTGCCACATCCTAGAGCATCCAAAAACGGTGCCTGGTGTGGAGGTGCCTGCCATGCATTTCCTTGTTTCTTCATAGGCCACCCTTACATTTAGGAAGTAGCCCTTTTGTCAGCCCCACTTTAGGGACAGTACTGTGGGTCTACCGTTTTTGCAGGGAGACTTCTTCATTCCTTATCTTCCTATATTTCAATTGTGACCTTATTAACACACAGAATGTTGTCTATGAAAAGATTAATGTGTCTCCCCTTAAATCAATTCTTAATTCTGTTTGATAGGATTCACTGACATTGATACATGATTTCCTCGTAATTGATGCCTTGATTAATGGAAATATTTGTAAAGCTTCTATCTTGAATCCCTGGCTAGCTTATCCTTAATTGTAATCAGCTGCTAATGTGACAACTGTGTGTGTCAATTTGCCCAGGTTTCAGGGACTGCATTTCATAACTACAGAGAAGATAGCTCAGCAGCTGTCACTTCTTGAACGTGGCATTAATTTATTGTCTGCCAGCTTGAATTTCTTTCTCTTTCTGGCAAGAATCAGACATCTCATCCTCTTTTCTGGTCCTGTCTTTTCCCTTATTTATTTATTCATTTATTTTCCAAGAGGCAGGACCTTAGTCACACCAGAGCACAGTAACCCGAAACCTACCTGCCTAGCCCCGATCTCATGCACAATCCTGCCTCAGCCTCCCAAGTTGCTAGGGTTACAGGCACATGTCACCGTGCCTGGCCTTTCCCTTCTCCTTTACATACCTCCTCCAGCCCAGCTTCAGCTCATGGGGTTGTTCATCTAGGGAGAGACAGAGGCTCGTTGTTGTCATGTGTCCAGCAAGTAATAAGTAGCATTCTGGCCTCAGCAGAAGTGATAAAATAAGACAAGACAAGCCTTACGGCCTTGAGAAATGACTATGTGGTTCTGGAGAGAAGACTTAAGTGCTTTCATGACTGGAAACAATCTGTAGATACAAGTCACCCAGCACTAAGTTAGAAAATAAAGCAGGGCACCTCATGGGAATGAATCCCACGTGTCTGTTTAACCTTTACACTGTGGACTTTAATTCCGTCGTCATCAGGCCCAAGTTGGGGTTTATCCTTGGTGATTCGCATGAAAAGAGGAGGTCCAGGCATACTGAATGGTTTACTAAAGCTCATGTGGCTTCTCAAGGGCAGACTACTGTCTTTAGACTTCACCTTGAGAGCTCTTACATATACATTCCCTCCTCTCTTGCTGCAAATAAAGTTAAGGAAATATGCTTAGTGGTGCAAGAGGCCGCAGTGGAAAGAGGGCTCATTCATGGAGGAGGAAAGAGAAGACTTACTTCAAGCCCAGGTACACAGTGGTGACATGTATAGCGCATGGACATGTCTGATCAGGACAGGGCATCTCACAATCTTCAAACTGCAACCATTAGTAGAAAATACATTTTACGTTTTCAATACACTGCATGTGTGCATGCAACCACGGCCTGAAATGGGCTTTAAACATGCGCTGTATATGCTTCAGTTGTTGCTAGTGTGCTAGCCTGTTACACAGCAGGAGGCTCTGCTCCTACCTTGCTGGTAGGATGCCCTGTGGTCCCTCATAGGGAAATGATAGCCATGGATACTAAGGTACCAGTGAAGGGATGTGAGTTCATGACCCCCAGATATTCTGATCCTTGTTGGAGAGTTTATAATATTTAGAGTTTGGGTAATATAAGAGGTTAAGAGTTCCTCCAGCTGTTTCTTGCATTCTCATTAGAAACCTGTGTATTTGGAAAATTCTGTTCATGCTTTTGTCCACCTCCTTCTCTTTGAAGGAAAATGATGCTCTTGCTCTATGAAGAAGGCCTCCGAGTCGTCATCCACACCTCCAACCTCATCCGGGAAGACTGGCACCAGAAAACCCAAGGGTTGGTAGGACCATGCAGTGCATGGCAGTTATTTTTCCTGGCAAAGGACAAAGACAAATGTTATTTGCATTCCTCTTTTTCTTTCCGCTTTTCTACTTGTGTAAGTAATGCACATGTGCATAGGAAAGGGGCATACCAGAAGTGGTCGCGGGATTTTCTTTTGCATTGTAAAAGCCACACCTCCATCCCCACAACACTCTACTCCTCCTTGCTCTCCATCCCCCCTCTTGAGGTAGCTAGTGTTAACAGCTTGGCGTAGACTCATCTATGACCGTCACTGGTGTATAGGAATATTCACATGCCCATGATTTGTAACATTTATTATAATCTTCTTATTGTTTGAGAGTTTCTCACATGCACATCATTTTTTTAAATCAAATCTACCCCTTTATTCCTCCCCTGTGTACTCTGACCATCTCCTCTCAACGTCATGTGCTCTGTTTGTTTATTTGCTTATTGAGCCTGCGGGTTCCACTTAGTGCCACACGAGAGTAGGGCCATCTACTGGAATGGGAAGGCAGCGAAGAGAAGCGGGGTTTGTTTTGTTTTGCTCTGTTTAATCATTGTGTGCAGGTTTGTGTGTGAGTGTGAGGACGGCACATGTGTGCCAGCCAGCACACACATGTGGAGGTCAGATGACATTCCCCAGCCTCAGCCTTGGTTGAGGTGGGATCTCTTGCTGCTATGTACACCGGGCTAGCTGGCTGCAGCTTCCGGGGATGCTGCTGTCCCCAACTCCCATCTTGCTATAGGCACACTGGGATTGTGGGTGTGAGTTACCACGCCTGGTGTTGCGTGGATTCGGAAGATCTAAGCAAGTTCTTTAAACACTGTGCCATTGGTGTTTGGTTTTGGTTTTTCAAGACAGAGTCTCTCTGTGGCTTCGGAGGCTGTCCTGGAACTCACTCTGTAGACCAGGCTGGTCTGGAACTCACAGAGATCTGCCTGCCTCTGCCTCCGAGTGCTGGGACTAAAGGTGTGTGCCACCACCGTCCAGCCAGAGGGTTTGTTTTTAAGAGGGATTTTTATAGGTATGTTCAACTGAAGTTCGACTACTTCTTTCCTCCTCAGAGAATGGCTTTAATTCCTTTTATTCCTCTGAAGTTATTTCTGTACCTCCCTGCCTTCTCGGGAGAGAGCTGGCAAATAGCCTTCTCTGTGGGAAGACAGTGCAGGCATTTGTATAGCTTCGTTTCAGGATCCCGGTCCGCTCTGCTACTGCCCTCCCCTGCTCACATCTCCAGTATGTTGCCTAGCCTGGGCTAACCTCCGACAACCTTACCTCAGCCCCGGTGACCCATGGGTTGAACTGAAATAAGGAGTCTTCCAGCTCAACCTCTGGGCCTGCTTTGACCTTAGTGTGGTCTCAGAGTAGTGTTATTGTAGCTACTGCAGGATCAAGGGGTCTCTGCCAGGCTCTGAAAAGTGTTAGTCGTAAGACTCGCTCTTCTCTGTCATCCCATCCTTCTCAACACACACGCACGCACGCACACATGCGCAATCACACGCACATACACACATACATACACACACCTCTTTTACGTTGTCGGTGAAATCTCTGTGTAGCTATGTAGCCCAGCTGGCCTTGAACTCTCCATCTTCCTGTTTCGCCTTCCAAGCGCTGGCTAACAGGGCTGTCTGGATGTGCTGAGTACTTTGTCCACTGGGGAGCTGGGGACACACACACAGTCCCATCAGGAAAGGGAGAGAGATTTAGATAGGCTCCTTCCTAGGGAAACAGGGATTTTGAGACTAGACAGAGTCACGACAGCGACCCCCAGTCCTGGTGGCTCTCGGAGTCCCACCAGTGCCTCTAGTTCAGTTCCGTCTGGAGTTGTGAACTTGAACTTACGGGCAGCACTGCTTCCTGAGGCTTCTCAAGTGACTGCCATGAGAAGTAGGGGTGTGGCTGGTGCTTTGATTCCTTTCTTCTCTCTCTCTCTCTCTCTCTCTCTTTCTTTTTTTTTTTCTCTCTCTCTCTCTTTTCTGAGACAGGGTTTCTCTGTATAGCCCTGGCTGTCCTGGAACTCGCTCTATAGATGATGGATGGCCTGTAACTCACAGAGAGCCACCTGCCTCTGTCTCCCAAGTCCTAGAATTAAGCTGTGAACCACCACCACCAGGCCTTTTATTCTTTTCTTTTAAAATGAAAATCTAAAAAGCATATTAAGTAGGTTGTATAGTGTATTTAGGTCAGACTCAGAGCAAGCAGGTATGAACTGTTTCTCCGACTTGCCTCTCTACCAGCCAGCCACGCTGCTACAGGGCCTGTTGCCCTCTGCTTAGTCTGCTCTTGGTTCTCTCTGATACTTTGCAGTTCCATGTTGTGATTAGAAAACCAACAACAACACAAGAACATACCCTCCAAAGGGGACCAGAGAGATGGCTGAGCGGCTAAGAGCACTTGCCGTCGGTTCAGTTCCCGGCTCACACATGACGTCTCACAAGCATCTGGATTCATTCTCCAGTTCCAGGGGATGCAACGCCTCCTCTGACCTTCCCAGGCACCAGCACAGACGTGCTCATACAAGTGTAATTTTAAGAATCTTTTAGAACACCGAAACCTTTAAAGGCACTCTTGACGTGCTGTCTCCCCTGGTGGGTCGCCTTCCCTGGCCTGGCTTCTTCCCTGCCGTGCAGATGTCCCAGCCGCCCTTCTCAGCTGCTGCTTGCACCTGCTCAGGCCGCACAGTTCAGATCATTCGTTGGGTCGAGAGTTGGCTCAGCAGTTGAGAGCACTTTTTGCCCTTGCTGAAGATCCGAGTAGATTCCTAGCCGCCCATCATGCAGCTCATAGCTCGCTCTCTCTCAAAACTCCAGTTCCAAAGGATCCGGTATCCTCTTCTGGCTTCTGTGAGCCCCTGCAAGCATGTGGTGCATACACCTACACCTGTGCATGCACATTTGAAACAAATGCATGAAAATTCCAAATTCTTTGCCCCCCACCCGTGATGCTCTTATATTGTTTCACAAAGTTTTAAGAACACCTCCTTTCTCAGTACCCTAGATTAGAAAGCTATTTCCTGTCATGGTCCTCATCCAGAATATGCCTGTCTGTGAACCTCTTGTGCTTATGCTCACAGGCATCGGTGGGAGGCTACCTCACACATCTATCTAGCCTAGCTGGTCCCTTGACACCCAGAGGCAAAGAAAGCCCCAGAGAAGTCATAGGACCTGCCTATAATGGCAAAGACATCAGGAAGCAGATGTGGTCCAGATGTGGGCTACAGCCTTAGTCAGCCCTGCCCCTTCTATGCTAAGTTTCCCCCCGAGGTAAGCAGGGAGTAAGTGACATGTCACTCTTCTGGGATGGCACAGACTTAAGACATGCAGCCCAGAGTTCTCATCCAGCCCTACTTCCCATCCTGTTAGCTGGTAGCCCACCTGCTTCCTTGGGGAACAGCTGTGTAAAACAGGAATTGGGCCATTTCTGTTTGGGTTTGGCGAGTAGAAATACAGGGGAAATGGCCACAAACGGAAAAGAAAGTGACAGCAAATACAGTCTGGGGTCTGACCAAACCATTCATTGCCTCTTACGGCTCCTTGCAACAGCAGAACTCCTAGAAGATCATCTAGTCCTAGAGGCTCAGAGCTGGACTGTTTTTGCGATCTACCTGTATCATATCGTATTGTGTCTGTTGGTTTAGATACAGTTATTTCCCGTGGTTAGGTATATTGTAGAATGTTGTAGAAGTTAGGGCAAAGACGAAGTTTGGGGGGAAAGGAATTGAGATGAAAGTTGTCTAATTTTTTATCACTGTTGAGTGCTTAGCAGTTTGAAGCTAATGTTAAATGTGTTACATACTCATTCCAGGCACCAGAAAATACAGGACATGAAAATATCTCAAACCACTACAGAATGTGTATATTATTAAAAACAGTTTTCTTACTGAATATAAGCTTGCATATATATTTTTTATTGGTATAGATAGCTCTTGATTCTTAATTTGGGTAAAGAGCTATACTGGTAAGAACATGGTTTTACATAAAGAGATAGCATTCAGAAATAATCCTGTGATGGGGAGTCATTGGATCAATGTGATCAGATCTGTTTCCTCCTGCCAGAAATCACTCAGTCACCATGTAAAGATGGTGGCAAGAATTCACCTCTTGCTTCAGGCGAATACATAACCATTATTTGGTATTGTTAAAACGAGAGCTCCCAGGTGTTAAAGGTTATTTCTTTTTTTCTTTTCCATTCTAGAATATGGTTGAGCCCTTTATACCCACGACTTAACCAGGGAAAGCACACATCTGGAGAGTCAAGCACCCATTTTAAAGCTGACCTTATCAGTTACTTGATGGCATACAACGCTCCCTCTCTCCAGGAGTGGATAGACACCATCCAAGAGCATGATCTCTCTGAAACCAAGTACGTGTCCCCTCACCAATATGGGGCGGTGGGTGCTGAAAAGGAACTCCTGAGCTGCAAGCCACACAAGTCTGGAAGGCAGGGACCTCAGGAAGGAGTGAGTGCTATTTGACTGTGCTGCATGAGAGGGTGGGGGGCGGTGAGAGCAGATTTGATCACTCCACATCTCAATGGTTCATGGGCATTGGGGTGGTGGTGGCTCTTAAGCCTCCCACTGGGGTGATCGTAGAGTTCCTGAGTTCTTTGCCTGAGTTCTTTGTCCTGCAGTAACTAAAAATGAACTCGGAGTAGCAGTTACCCTTAAGGAGGCATGGCCTTGGATTAATTGGCTCCTTGAACTCTTCCATTACATAGGTTTTTATGTGTATTTTGTGGGTTTAGGGTGTCACAACACAATTGCATGTTAACTTTATTGTATTTTACTTTATTTAGTGTTTACCTTGTTGGTTCAACCCCTGGACGCTTTCAAGGAAGTCACAAAGACAACTGGGGACATTTTAGGCTCAGGAAGGTAATGAAACTTTTACTGTTTTAACATTTAAAATAACATAATGTGAATCCTTTCTTCTTTTTCGTTTATGATGGACATCTAGTCCCAGGTTCAAATCCCAAACCTGTGGTATACAAGCCTGGTCTTGACTTATTCCTCAGCCTGCCTCTTGCCGGCTATGAAATGGACAGGATTATGCCAAGCAATGAATGTAAAATAGATTGTTCTGTCAGCAGGGGAACTTGTGGACTGGAACTAGGTGTCCGGCCTAGAAATAGAATGCATTAGTGTGGTCACAAATCCTGCAGGTTGAGTAGCATCTGGAGTTTTCAAGCCACTTCTCCTCCTACCTCATGCTGCGTCGTAGCTTAGTTCCAGGACAAGCAAGCAGATTAGAACATATGCATTGAGATAGGAGTCCTAACGGGGCTTTGCAAATATCCCTTTCATATTAGGCAGCCACACTGGAGGCCAAGGATTTTGTCTGTGCTTCCCCACCATCCCCCACCCAAGGCCCTTGCTTATGCTAGGCTAATGCCTACCACTGCACGCACAGCTGTGTCCCCGCCCTGGAGCACAGATCTAAGGTGAGAGCTGGAAGCTCTTTTCAAAGGGAATGGACCCGAATGTCCAATGGTTTAATCCTGTCAGTTTAGTTTAGGTATATTAGACAATTGTGATTTCAGGGTGGTTCATCTTGGTAGTTCTGCTAAGATGGGTCTTTGAAAATGTTTTATTCTGCTTTTGTTTCTAATGCAAATCAAAGAAATTTGGAAAGAGACTTTCTGTCCACATATGTCTTAGGGTTTCTGTTGCTGTGAGGAGACACCTTGACATGCCAACTCTTATAAAGTAAAACATTTAATTGGGATGGATTGCTTACAGTTTCAGAGGTGGGGAGCATAAGGGGTATGCAGAGAGTCCTACATCTTACAGGCAACATGAAATTGACTGACACACTGGACAGTATCCTGAGCACAGGAAACCTCAAAGCCTGCCCCCTACAGGGACACACTGTTCCTCCAACAGGGCCATATCCACTCCCAACAAAGCCACACCTCCTAATAGTATCACTCCCTATGAGATTATGGAGGCCAATTACATTCAAAGTACCACAGCATAATGGGTTGGGAGGGAGCACATGCTTTTAGTATTATAATTTCCAAAGAAGAAAGTATCCATGAGCATTATGTTGATGGCTGATGTTTTTCCTTGTAAGTAAATAAAGGGTATTTCAAAGACACAGTCCATGTTTTTAGGCATTAGGGCATTTCAGTTACTATTGTTACTACTGTGACTAATGCACTCACCTTTATTTCGGAGCAGCTTCTGCGGGCACATGCCCCATCTGTACCTGAAGACGAGTGCTGGCCCATCGTGGGTCAGTTTTCAAGCATTGGTTCCCTGGGGCCTGATGAGTCGAAGTGGCTGTGCTCAGAGTTTAAAGAGAGCTTGCTGGCACTGAGAGAGGGTGGCAGAACGCCAGCAAAAAGTGCAGTTCCTCTTCATCTGGTGAGCCCTCTTGCCGCCTGACTCACTACGCTGTAGTCCAGAAGAATTAAGACACAGCCTTCCTTACAATAGCGCTTCACCCTGTGGGGTGTGGAGAGAACACTGTTTTGTGGTCCTGGTGCCACCCAGCCAAGGGCTTCCGGTGTGGTCAGGAGCTACGGTGTAGCCACGAACCTGCCTGCTCTCTCCATTCTTCTTTCAAGTTGTCAGTCCAAGGGGGGAAATGCCAAGTATGCCGCTGCTGAAGAAGTATGTGCTGTGCTCATTATGTAGTGATTTGTGAGTCCATGGTAAATTAACTAGTTCATCATTAATTAATATCCAAGTTAATATTAATTTGGCATGTCAGAGGGGAAAACATTTAAAGTATAATTTTTCATTAGTTATATGCATGCTTCCTGTAGATTAGTTATTGGAAGTCTAGCTATACAGTAAGGTGGGGTTTTCTTTTAATTTAAGATATAATTTCTAAGTTTTTGTTAAACATTTTTTATTAACATTTCTATTTTCTTAAAAACAAGTCAACATTCCTTTCTTTCAACATGATTCATGCCAGCTTTATTGGTTTTCTTCTTTCTTGCTTATTTTTAGATCTATCCTTCTGTGGAAAATGTTCGGACCAGCTTAGAAGGATATCCTGGTAACTCGGTTGTGGTTTCTCTGTATATTCCCGAAATGCCTTGGGGCATATTTTGTTTTATTTATTTTTCATCAGAGTTGGTTAGAAATGTAGAAACAGTTTCCCCTTGCCCAGATAAAGCTAATGGATCGGGTATTGTTGGGCTGTGCAGGGTTCAGAGAAGGGCAGTTTAGACACACTTCCTTCGCCATCATAGTGACTCCATGCAGGGCAGTTTACCTCAGTTTTACTAAAACTTATTTACTAATAATCCAACGTGTTGATTGTCAAGACAAGATGTCCAACTAAAGTAAGTTCCCCTGCACTCACTACCCTGACGGTTTGGCTAGCATCCTTCCCTCTGCCCATGTCCATGGTTCTACATAGCCCTTCCAGATTTACATCCACATACAGATGCACTTGAGGCACTTAACCAAATGCCTAGCCTTCTTTTGTTTCTTTCTTTTAAATAACATTTTTTTTTCCATTTATTTTACATACCAACAAACTTTTCCTCCTGGTCTTATTTTCATTAAAAAAAAAAAAAAAAAAAAAAAAACCCTTCATTCTTCTCTTTATTCACTACTGAGCATTGAACTTTTAAACAGAAGCATCCTTTCTAATGCCATCCGGTTATTAACAAAAGCCCCAGAGAGTACGCCTTTGGGAGAATCTAAGTCTGATTGGCATTCATGACTTGCTGGTAGCAGAATGCACTAAATTAAACCTAATTTTGCCCATTTGTTGCTTATGAAATTAGATGTGACCTTGCCAAAAGAATCTCAATAAAGTTCAGAGTATATTTGCCATTTGTTGCTCTTTAAGAACAAAATAAAATTACTTCACCTTGGCTCTAGGATATGGGTAGTTTTTCTTTCTGTACTTCTAATAGCCTAGATCTATTCCAAGTGCAGTTTTAATGAGGGAGAGCATGACATTCTCAATGAAGTAGTTTTACAAGTGGTTCTACAACAGAATATGTTTTTAGCTATTTGCAGTAGGAGACGGGACATATCTTACTGGGTCCTGGAGTTGTCTAAAGCTCTCTGCACATAGATTACTGTGGGGAAGTTCCTGATGAATCTACAAATGGATTTTTCTTACCAAAAAAAAAAAAAAAAAAAAAAAAGAAGAAGAAGAAGAAGGCAGAAGTGTTTGTTGCATGTTTTCGTATCTTCCGGTTCTGTGAGAATCTCCTCTGCCTGCCTGTTTGGAAATGGCAGAGTATAAGGGCAAAGTCAGCAGGATTGGGTTTGGTTACTGCCTTCCCAGATTCCCTGCCCAGGACCAAAACCTAGTGATGTGTTTCATACCCACTATGGTTGTAAAACAGGCCCAGATTCTCTCTGGGGTCTTTTCTAGTACTTCAAATCTATATGAATATTCTCCCCACTGAGTGATTAAGTGATCCCTTTTCTTTTCAGATAGTAAACTGTTTATATGCCTCTTCTCCCAGAGAAAGGAAGTTCATAAAAAAGATGTACCTAATTTGAGTTCTGGTAGTGTAGATCGTTGATTCCAGCTTCTCTGGAGGCTGAGGCAGGAGGGTCACAAATTCAAGGCCAGTCTGGTCTACAGAGTGAAACCCAGGCTAGCCTGGGCAATCTCGTGAGACCATAAGTAAAGAGTAAAAATATAGCTCAGTGGCCTGGCCTGTGTGAGCACCAAAACAAGCACAGACACAGAAAGAGAGAGAAGGTGGCGTGCCTGATGTAAGCATGGGCATTTTCTTTCTGTGAGCTTTGACTTGGGATGATGCAGCGGAGGCACTTGTCTATCATTTCCCTCCTCACTGTTTACAGAGATTTTCTTCTTAGTGAAGATGCCTCATATTTCATTATGTTTATTTGTTTTCTTTTCCTTCTTTTAAAAGCTGGGGGTTCTTTACCCTATAGCATCCAGACAGCTGAAAGGCAGAAGTGGCTACATTCCTACTTTCAGTAAGTAACTGCTTCTCAATGCTGCTCTTACTTCGTTAGGACCAAGAATGTTGTGTCAGTCTGCTCTTTAAAAAAGTACCTTATATAATGCAGCTATATTCTTTCATCTACATATGCTAGTGATAGAAATAATTTAAAGCAAGGTTTTGAAAAATTTTTGGAATAGGTTTTTAATACCAGAGTAAAATTTATAACTCTGTGAAGTTTCTATTTAAATATTAGCAGGCAAGGAAACAGATAAGTAAGAGATTCTGCCGGGTAGTCTGTGGTTTACATAAGCAGCATTCAGTTCACTTAGCTGAAGCGTGAAGAATAACCACCCAGACTGTAGTATGTAGGCCACATGCCACACTCTCCAAGGGTAGAGTCCGTGCCGCTGTCTCCAGGATAAAGACTGTGTTTGTTGTGCCGGCAGAGCTCAGGAAACAGGTGATGGATGAGAAGGGAAAGGAAGGCTTGTCCTTTTCAAGCTACAGCACTTGCCCATCCCAGATGTTCTAGACCAAGCCCCAGGGTCTAGAACTCACTTCAGTAGTGGCTTTGCAGCTGGGCAGCCAGAAACGAGAGAAGGAGTCCATCTCCATAGCTTTGTGCTGAAATTCCTGTTGGCCAGAGGCATTTCCGTCATATCCGCTCTAAACGGAGAGTTCCTTACTGAGAACTTACGTGCTGTGTCCCTGTCAGTTTCAGATTCCTGGGTTCACTCTAGGAAAGACAACAGTGGCCTTCTTAACCCCGACCCTATGCTGGCAAACTGCCAGTTAGCTTGGGGAGTAACCCTCTTCTAAGATAGAATCATGGCCTCATGCCTCCTCGGAACCCTAACCTTGAAATATTGGAAATGTGGGCGTAATACTCAAAGCCCAAACTAAAGCATTTCTGAGTTATCCCCTGCTGTTTTAGCATTCCACTCCCTTTGCTTCTTTGGGGAAGCTTCCATGGGAGCCACTACTCAGTAGTGTGCACTAAAGGGCACTGTAAGCTTCCTGCTTCCCAGATCTCACAGTCCAGCCAGAGACAAGTGTACACACGTGCAGAAAGCACAATGGAACCGTGTAGTGCACGTGTGCTTGCATGCGTGTGTACACGTGTGCATATGTGATAAAGGAAAGGATAAGATGCCCCATGTCCAGGGGCTTTGATGCCCTTGTGGCCCACACTGAGTTTCCTTGTTTGACATCCTTATTTTGCAGAATGATTGCGTGTTCTTCTGTTCTCTGAACAGCGTCATCAGTCACCAGGTCACAGACCACGTTCCTGCTGTCTGTTTAGATAGGACGTTGCTTTTTGTGTAGTCAGTTAGTATAAGAGTTTTGTCTGTCTTGGATTCTTTTCTAATTGGTGGCTTACGTCTCTCCTGTCACTAGCAAGTGGTCAGCAGAGACATCTGGCCGAAGCAACGCCATGCCACATATTAAGACATACATGAGGCCCTCATCAGACTTCAGTAAACTGGCTTGGTTTCTTGTTACAAGGTAAAGGGGCCTTATATGTCTTGGGGGGGGCAGTTTTGTAGCTTCTGCTCTGCAGATGAGTGGAGGCCTAAAAGGTGAAGCATCATAAGTTATTATAACTCAAAGGAGGCCTGTGACTAATGTCTTATTGAATGTGTGATCATTGCCTGATTGTTCATGGCTATAAGATCATGTTTATAAAATTTGCATAAACTTTGGATTTATTTCTTCTTGTATGCTGTAATAATGATGGTTAAGCAAACTGACATTTAGGATAAATACAGAAGAAGCAGAAAATATTAAAATGATTCCTTTTTTTTTCTACTAGCATCTCTTTAGATAATTAAAACTTGAGCAATCAAATCTCTCACATGCCACTTTAAAAACGTCTTTATCATGATATAATTCACATACCATAAAATCTGTGCATTAAGGTCTGCAATTTAACAGTCTAACATGTTTTCAGAATTGTACAACCATCCCCATAATCTAATTTTAGAATATTTTAATCACCCCTAAAAGGAACTCTCTACCCACTGACATTTTTGTTTCTTTTTTCTTTCTTTCTTTCTTTTTTTTTTTTTTTTTTTTTTTAAGATAAATTGCTTTGCCCTTTGGAAAATAGCTGTGACTAAAACATTAGTACCTCGCGCCTAGTCAGAACTCAAGCACTGGGCATCTCTTTGTGATTCAGTAGCCTAATTGATGTCAGTCACAGCTAATTACACTATCACCGGGCGGAATTACTGCTTTAAGACTGAAATGGTGCGCAAGAACCTACTTCTAAACCTAAAAACCTTTAACTTTTTGTGGCTAACATTTGCGCCTGGTCCAGGTAAGAAATACTGACCCAAAGAGACAGTTGATAAACATGATGACAGAGGTGCATCCTAAAGGCTTTTTGCAGCCTCAGAGCGTAACAGAAAGACAGACTAAAAATAAACATCCAGGATGCTTTTCTGTCATGTAGGAGCTGTATAAACTTGGGGCGTTTATTTCATCTGTGTTTCTTTCCTAGCCTGGGAAAAGGAAGAGGTGATGGCTACATTCGGGGTTACTGTGAGCGTTACATGAGTTGTCAGAACTGGGTACCTGGAATGGAACAGGTCCGCAGCCTGTGGTGTCAGACGTTGTGCATGATGGAAGTGGTTGTGTACAGTGAGCAGACACACATGCAGGCAGGATGCGCACAGACATTAACATTTTCATTAAAGATCATCCTATCTCCCTCCTAATAATTGGCCATCATTGAGCAGCTTTCTACCTTTGTGAGGTATCCTCACCTTCAATAACTCTGAGTTTATGCCGAGGCCAAGCCACATAGTATACATGTGTTTCTTTTCTTTTATGTAGTTATTTTGTTGAAAAAGACCTCATAGAGCAGCTCAGGCTGACCTTAAACCCATGGTAATCCTGCTTCATCTTCCTCAGTTCTGGGATTACAGGCATGAGCCATCAGGCCTGGCTCAGTGCTCATGTGCGTTTGTGCATGTGTGCATGTTGTGCACACATATATATTAGACAAGGTCTGGCTGTGTACCTCTGGCTGGTCTGGATCTAGCTGTGTGAACCAGATTGACCTCAGACTCACAGATCCACTTACCCCTGTCTCCTGACTGCTGAGATTAAAGACATGGGCTACCACATCCAGTCCAACACGTATTCCAGATAAGATACAGACCACATCATTCAGGAAGTCTCGTGAGCTCTGCTTGTAGGATCTATGTGAGTGGCTATGATGGATAATCAAAGAAAGCGTGGTCCCTGCTGTTCATAAAAGGCACTAAGTGATGCCCTGTTCTTTCTATACTTTTACTTCCTGCTTGTTGAGAGGGTGAATGAAGTGTGCATCAAGATCTCATGATCATTGGATGCTGAATTGTTTTCTCCGTCTCAGGCACTATTGTGTGTCATAGAAGGCAAGAAACAAAGCACCTACTCCAGTATGAGTTTTCAGTTAGGGTATAAGATGGTAGGCAAGGCCAGGATCTATTGTGAGGGGGTTCAGATCAGGCCTGTAGCAAATGCAGAAATGTTTGGAGCACGTTTGAGGGATCAGAGAAGGTGGCCCTAGGAGGCAGGGTTTAAGCTGATTGAGGGCAGAACACACTGGTCAGAGGGGCCAGCTCAAAGCCACTCTCTCATGCAGGAGAAAGTGTAGAAGGTTGAGCTCTTCCTGTGCTGATATGCAGAACTGAGCCAGATAACTCCAGGGGGCCCTGAAGTGCAGTGACATCATCGCTAAGTGTGTTGAAAGCTAGGTCAGGCTGCTGAATGGAGAGTGGGTGGTTAGGAGGGAGTGGACGTGGGCAGCAGAGGTTGTCTGCCAGTCACAGAGCTCGTGCTGTTTATGGGCAAGAGCTGGTAGAAACAAGCTTCCCCCAGGGTGGGGAAGATGGCGTAGTTTATACTTTAAACCTCCGTCAATGGGACAGTTTGAAGCGGTGGGATACACACAGTCAAGGAGCTAAGCAGAACCAAGCCCAGACTTCAATTCAACCTCTTTGAATCCGCGAGTGGCTGAGCCTCTCCTGAAACACAAAGGCAAGGTACAAAAGTGTGCTGGCGGTTTGGTGGAGAGACAAGTCCCACAAGCACGTGCCACCAGTGGCTGAACAAATGACACCTCCCTAGGGAAGCTGGAGTCTGAGTAGCAGCCATGACTTAGCTAACAGTGCTTAGGATAAATATCCCATTGTAAGCATGGAAAAGAGCAGCTGCTATTAGTCAGACTATAATAATCACCCTGTGCATTAGCCACTCAGCCTGTAAATTCACAATGATGGCAAGAACCGTGGAGCCTCAGAATCCATCGCCAGATCCTCGATCCAGCCCCTTGGTCACCCAGGTGATCACTATCAGCATGGCAGGCCCTAACCAGGATGGAAGAAACAGGTGTATGAAGGAAAGGAACTAGAGAGAACTGGCATCCTCTAAGCAGCTGTGCTTGCTCTTTTGGTCATCTCAGAGTTTTGTGAGACGGCATGGGCCCCTCCCAGGCAGAAAGGAAAGCTGTAGAGTTGAGGCAGCTCCACCAACCACTCTGCAAATACGCATACCCACACAGTGCCATGGGGACAGAGGAAAGCTAGGCCGAGCTTCTTGCCCCTGTGGAATTTACAGTTAAATGAAGGAGATGGCCAAAGCCGGTCATGCCACGTGTATTTTATTTGATCCCCTGATGCTTTTCTGACTGTTCTGCACAGGTATGTTGTTCTTCCCTAGTAGAGCCTGAACTTGCAGCTATCCAGGGCTTGACTGACACGTGGCTTCCTCACCTGGTTGGATTCGGTCTCCTGGACTTGGACATCATCAACATCATCATTAACAATTGTGATTACTGGCTTCCCCTGTAGGCCCTGACACCAGCCTGTGTCTCTCTTGTTTAGCATAGGCCAGCAGCTGGCAGGGAGCCTGGCATGCAGGAGATGCCCAGTACAGATTCCTTACCACGGTTAACTAATGAAGGCAGAATTGAGGTGGTAATGGTGGAGAATCTGCCTAGACTTGGTGCATGGTACATTAGGAGAAAAGCTGTAGGGATGACCCCTGAGCGGGGAGTATGGCTGGAAGGTTGATGGAGTTCATTGTTGACTTCACTGTAGAAGTGAGGAGATGGCTGCCGGAGGGTGGCAAATTTGACTGCAGTTCCATCCCAAGCACATACAGAAATAAACCTAATTGCATACTTAGCGTAGTGAGACCACAGAGGTTTGAAGTTCTGTTGTTGTGGTTGTTGTTATTTTTGATGAGGTTTTGGTGTGGTTTCTCTCATGCTCATCACTGATAGCATAAGGTTTTGTGACTTTTCTGGGAGCGAGCAGAGCAGGCTGCTGCCTGGTGCTGAGGAACATTCTGGTACAGTGGCACATACTTGTAATTCCAATCCTCTGGGGCCTGAAGCAGGAGGATCACTGTGAGTTCAGGGCCAGCCTGGACATGAAGGCAAGACCCTGTCTCAAATCGGAGGTGAGGTTTTTAATATGTTCTATCGCCAATGAAGCAATGTATAATAGTCTTCCTTCTACATTAAGAGGACTAATCATCCATTCATTCTGGACATTACATTGTTCTTAGTCATTCAGTGTATCTGTTGCTGTATTGAGCACTTACTGACCAAGCCCTTTGCTAAATGCTGGGGATATGGTAATGGACAACCATTGGCCTGGTTCTGGTGATGGGAATCACATAAAAAAGCAAACAAGTGTATTCATAGTCAAGCGGGGGTGAGTAGGACAGAGAAAAACAAAGTAGAATGGTAATTTATATGCACTGACCTTCATTTGAAGTTCAGGAAGATCACATAATCCACGTGCAGTCCATTAACTTCCCTGATGGCATCTGGCCCAGGATCCTGTGGTGATTGTTTTGGGGGTGGCAGCTATTGAAGGAGACCACCTCCAAACAGTGGGGGCTTCCTCCCAGAATCCAGATTAGGCACAAACCACACTCAAACACCTGCTTTCACAGAGAGATCTTTTATTAAGCAGGGAAGAAAAGTTAAAGCGGCTGCTTTCTGACTCAGGCAGAGAAATAGCAGCAAATGACCTTGCAGGTGTGATTTTAAGAGGAGGAAAAAGGGAGATCTGTGTTTGAGTGGGCTAGGATAGGGTGGTAAAGGAGATAGGGGACAAGGGAGAAGGGAAGGGAACAATGGAGAAGGGGAAGGGGTATTAGTCCTAGGGGGACAAAGGATAGAGGGAAGACAGACAGGCAAATGATGGTTTATAAAGGTAAAGGAGGAAACCCTGTGTTAGGATGAGGTGTTTAATGTTAACTGGACATGTTAATTAGATGAACCAAAGGGGGCTTTTGATTGCTGGACTTTGGTAGTCGGCCTTATGGGGTGGGAGTGGTAAATAAGGAAATAGACCTTGGTGGCTAACGTTGGGAATGTAATTGGTTTTTGGCAAGGCAGAGGAATGGGGGAGAAGGATAAGGTCTGCCAGAGCCATGCTCGCCATGCTCAAGCTGGCTAGAGTCCCTTCAGCATTTGCTGCCAGATTAAATGAATGAGGAAA